TAAGCATATTAGGTGATGTGCATCTCTGTAATGAGAAGGGGTGTGGTCTATTGACATCAACACCCTATATCAAGTGTGCATAATTATTAGGCAACTTCCTTTCCTTTGGCAAAATGGGTCAAAAGAAGGACTTGACAGGCTCAGAAAAGTAAAAAATAGTGAGATATCTTGCAGAGGGATGCAGCACTCTTAAAATTGCAAAGCTTCTGAAGCGTGATCATCGAACAATCAAGCGTTTCATTCAAAATAGTCAACAGGGTCGCAAGAAGCTTGTGGAAAAACCAAGGCGCAAAATAACTGCCCATGAACTGAGAAAAGTCAAGCCTGCAGCTGCCACGATGCCACTTGCCACCAGTTTGGCCATATTTCAGAGCTGCAACATCACTGGAGTGCCCAAAAGCACAAGGTGTGCAATACTCAGAGACATGGCCAAGGTAAGAAAAGCTGAAAGACGACCACCACTGAACAAGACACACAAGCTGAAACGTCAAGACTGGGCCAAGAAATATCTCAAGACTGATTTTTCTAAGGTTTTATGGACTGATGAAATGAGAGTGAGTCTTGATGGGCCAGATGGATGGGCCCGTGGCTGGATTGGTAAAGGGCAGAGAGCTCCAGTCCCACTCAGACGCCAGCAAGGTGGAGGTGGAGTACTGGTTTGGGCTGGTATCATCAAAGATGAGCTTGTGGGGCCTTTTCGGGTTGAGGATGGAGTCAAGCTCAACTCCCAGTCCTACTGCCAGTTCCTGGAAGACACCTTCTTCAAGCAGTGGTACAGGAAGAAGTCTGCATCCTTCAAGAAACATGATTTTCATGCAGGACAATGCTCCATCACACACGTCCAAGTACTCCACAGCGTGGCTGGCAAGAAAGGGTATAAAAGAAGAAAATCTAATGACATGGCCTCCTTGTTCACCTGATCTGAACCCCATTGAGAACCTGTGGTCCATCATCAAATGTGAGATTTACAAGGAGGGAAAACAGTACACCTCTCTGAACAGTGTCTGGGAGGCTGTGGTTGCTGCTGCACGCAATGTTGATGGTGAACAGATCAAAACACTGACAGAATCCATGGATGGCAGGCTTTTGAGTGTCCTTGCAAAGAAAGGTGGCTATATTGGTCACTGATTTGTTTTTGTTTTGTTTTTGAATGTCAGAAATGTATATTTGTGAATGTTGAGATGTTATATTGGTTTCACTGGTAATAATAAATAATTGAAATGGGTATATATTTGTTTTTTGTTAAGTTGCCTAATAATTATGCACAGTAATAGTCACCTGCACACACAGATATCCCCCTAACATAGCTATAACTAAAAACAAACTAAAAACTACTTCCAAAAATATTCAGCTTTGATATTAATGAGTTTTTTGGGTTCATTGAGAACATGGTTGTTGTTCAATAATAAAATTAATCCTCAAAAATACAACTTGCCTAATAATTCTGCACTCCCTGTAGGGTCAGAAATACATGTTTGTGTTCCTTACCCTATAGTGATCCTTTAATCCAAAAAACTGACACGTGCACATACCTTTATATCTCTAGGCTGTAAGCTTATTTCTGCAGTGTACTCATCAGCCTATTGCTTCTATCAATATCTGTAATAGTTTATCTCTGTTAATAATATGGAAAGTGACACTCCCCTGCCTCAAATACAAAATAAACAACATTTGGTTATGCATTGTTTTCATTGTGGTACATCTCAAAACATATTGTAAAACCTGTAGTTCTCTTTTCTGAAGCAATTGCAATCCCTCCCCTTCAAACTGTATCCAGACTTTCTGTGCCTGTCCAATCACAGGCTTCTCAATACAGCTCAATGAGAAAGGCAGGTGGTTCTGGGCAATTGTTGCCTTTTAAGTTTAGTTCTACTGAGTCAAACAACCAGGAAGTAAAACAACCTATTGTCTGCTTAAAAAGTCAGGTGGTATAGCCAGGTTAGTCTATAAAAGTGTCAGGTTATATTGAGATATGCACTTTTTGCAAAATTAATATAAAGAAATTTTTTTTTTTTTTTTTTAAAAGAGGACACACTGTACACACAAAAAGAGGAGGGCATGCAATGGCTGTAGTTCATAATAACCACAGCTTTTGCAAACACTTAAGATATACCCCAATAAATACATGCATGCATTTTTCATACATTTACTACACACTTATTTGATTTTTTTTGGCCATTTTCAGTGGCGTGTTCTATATGTTAATTTCCATGTGTGGAACAGAGTAGCTGTTTTCATGGCGGGTTGCAGTGTGCCAATTCAATGTTTCTGTAAGGAGGTATTAGCCATTTGGTAAGAGAAGCCATTCAGCCAGATCTCATACTGCTCAGAGTTAATATTTAATTTTATGTTGCATATGTGATATTATGTAATTGTTTAACAGTATGCAAACTTTGAATAAAAGAAATATAAAACAAAGTCTGTTTACAACCCATCATTAACTCTTTGAATATATGTGATTGCTTCTAGAATTTATTATTTTTCCATTTTATTTTCTAGAGGAACATATTACTATTATGAGGATCTTCCTAGTATGCTGGAGGTTGGTTAACAGCAGCTAGCAGACTATTTTCTTTCCAGTGTAGCTGTATCCGGTTACATCAAGCATAGTACAATGTGAACTTTTACTGAACAATATAAAGTATTCAACACTTAAAAATCTGTAAACAAAATTATGACTAAATAGACACACTAGTGCTGACTGAAAGCAACAATGTAGTGGCATGGGTAAATGTTTTTTTTGTTTTTCAAATCTTTATTTTTGTGGGTGTAGCATGTTGGTTACAATATCACATGTTTGGTATTAAAACAAGAAAATAACAGATTGACAATGTTAACCCTTTCAGAGTGTAATGGTGTTGTGGAGAGAGGCACTGGGGCTAGTGGTGTTGTGGAGAGAGGCACTGAGGCTAGTGGTGTTGTGGAGAGAGGCACTGAGGCTAATGGTGTTGTGGAGAGAGGCTTGGAGACTATGGTGAAGCCTAATAGAAAGCAGTTGTTGTTGGGGGATTCCATCATAAGAGGTGTGGAGATGGATAATGGTGGTCTTCTGAGGTGTCTTCCCGGAGCTACTGCTCACAGAGACAGGAGACGTATCTGTAATCTTGTTAAGCGAGAAAAACAGGAAGGGGAATTGGATGTACTTGTCCATCTAGGGATGGAAATGACTTGGCTTGCAATGAGGTTTCAGAGGTTAAGGAAGTTTTTAGTGTTTTTGCCAATGATATACGGCAGGTTGCTTCCACACTGTCATTCCTTGTGGCTTGGTGAATGGTGTCGGGAGAAAGGATTTGGCTTTATTTCTCATGGTAGCTCTGTATGGAATGGAAATAAACTGTACAAAAAAGATGGTTTGCATCTTTATCTAAAGGGAACAAATGTTTCTCAGTGAGCAGTTCAGAGGTTTTGCTAGGATGTATTTAAACTAGGAGGGGGGGGGGGGTGGCAAAAGGGTTATAAAACATCAATCCAATTGTCCCCCAAAACAAGGACAGAAGGTGCCTGTAGCAAGTGTGTTAAAAAATGATACGCTTAGAGTCATGTCTACAAATACTCGCAGTTTCAGGAATAAGATCCATGAACTTGTGGCAGGGGCGTACCTAGAGCATTTGGCACCCGGGGCGGATCCTGTGCTTGGCACCCCCTTGCCCCCCCAAAAGCCCCGGCCCCAGTTTGGCTCCGCCTCCAATTTTGCTTTCTCCGCCACACTTTTCCTCCGTGCGGCCAGTTTATCAACTGTTTGCTTGTGTGAGCTGTACTGGCCGCACGGCACCTTAACTACCATGGGGCACTGTGCGGCCACAGGTCACACAGCCCCCTCCAGCCAGGGCCGGTGCAAGGATTTGTGCCGCCCTAGGCAAAAGTAAAGTTTGCCGCCCCCCATGTGACATCACAATGCCCCACCCATATGATTTGCCATGTTATCTAACGCCAGTGCTGCAGTGCCACCGTGTTTACATTAAAAGGCCTGCAGGGACAGGCTATAGACACCAGAACCACTACATTAAGCTGCAGTGGTTCTGGGGACTATAGTGTTTCTTTAATGTGAGGTAAATTAGAGCTTAGTGCCACGAATATTATACTAGATTGCCTACTTACAACCAGATGAGGATGATGATGGGCTCTAGCTGCAGTCTGGCTCCACTGGTCTGGTGTAAAACAGGCTCTCTGGAAGCAGTTTGTAACTGTGGTCATAAAAATCAATGTTCTGGGAGAACGGGAAGCAGCTCCATTTTTTGGGGGCCCTTTACACAGCTCAAAGTCTGGGTCCCAGGGTCCACCTTCATGTTCCACCAATGAGTTTGTTCACAAGGGGTGGAGTGTGTAGGGGATGTCCTGATATGTGTGTAAGGAATGCATTGTGTGAATCTGTGTGTGTATGTGTAAGGGCTGCAAGGTGTGTTTCTGTGTATGTACGGGATGCATTGAGTGTGTGTAATGAATGCATTGTGTGTTTCTGTGTGTGTAAGGGATGCATTGTGTGTAACGGTTGCATTGCTTGTGTATGTGTGTCTGTGTGTGTAATGCAGTATGTGTAATGCATTGTGTGTTTTTGTGTGTGCAAGGGGTGCATTGTGTGTGATGAATGTCAATCTCCCCCCCCCCTCCAATTTCCTTCTTCATCCCCCCCAATCTCTCCTTATTCCCCCCCAATCTCTCCTTATTCCCCCCCCCATCTCTCCTTATTCTCCCCCCCCACCATTGTTGTAGCGTGGCCGAGCCCTCTATGGTCCGCGGGTACAGGGAGCTTTTGTTTCCTGCCGGACTAACAGGATGTGCACACTGAGACAGATGCTCGTGTACCCGCGGACCAATAGAGGCTCGGCCACGCAGGGAGTGACAAGAGGGAGCGCTGTGCGCTGAGCGCTCCCTCCTGTCAGCCCCTCTCCTCAGGCTGCACCTGGGCGGGCAAAGCTGCAGCCGCCTGAGGCTCTCTGCAGAGCGCTCAGGCGGCTGCAGCATGAGGGGGGCCGGCGTTCCTGGCGGCACCCCCCTCCCTGGTGGCACCCAAAATAATGGCTTTACTTTTCAGATATTGGTAGAGCTTCTCCTTTAAGAAAATAATATGTTGCTGTCTACCTGGTACGTGTCCCAGAGTCTGATTGTACAACGCAATGGAAGCTCTCTCATAAGAAGGTTGTTCATCCAACGAAATGCAAATTGTAGATACTCCACTTCATACTTCTTAAAATGGCAATGCACTTGATCTGGTGCAGAAAAGAAAAATGCAAAGTTAACACCAAAAAAATAAAATAAAATAAAAACACAACATGGAAGCAGAGAGAAAAAAGGCACTGTATATTTGAAATATGTGGGGGGGAAAAATAGTCTACCAACATTAAAAAAATATATAGCTGCATGATAAGATTCAAATTACATCATAGCTGTAAACGATCACTGCTAGTGTCATACAACAGCATGGAATATCCTTCAGTTTGGATGCAAGCAAGTAACTTTGGCAATGCATCCACACAACATCATTACTTACATCACCAAGTGCTAGGATGGCTGTGAGGGGTACTCACATGGTCCAAGCCAACCCAGATGGTAACCTCAATAACCCCCTGTGTGGCTGATTATACTATATGACCAGGCACCAGTCTTGTTCCCAATTTGTTATCAGACACAAAAAGCAGTTGCAGCTCTGATCTGTCAAGGAGCTCAGCTAAACAGTATAGAGGGAAAACTGTGTTTCTCCAACTAAAGTTTAGCTCTGACAGTGTACAGTGCTGGTAAAATGTTGGCATTCAATTGGCTCTTCTAATAATTTGTCCAAAACCACTCTCCTCCCCCCCAAAAAATATTTTGTGCCTCTTTTCACAAAGAACAGAACAACTTCCTCATTAGATGTATTTTAGGTATGTCTCCATAAGCTGGGCTTCCCTGTAGCCAATTATTATTATCTATTTATTTGTACCCTTTTTACAGCTTTAAAATACAATACAGCTAATAAATGGACAGTGATTGGATGCGGGGTGGAGCTCCTCAGTTCATGATGATTTCTCATAGGCTGAGCTGTGTATGTACTCAGAATATGTCTACTTTGTGAAAAGAAAGAGTGTGGCTAAAAGTACAGGGTTGTGCTGCATAAAGCTGCAAAACTTTCCCCCCTACCCTACCGCCCCAAATGAAACTGAAGAGATTTGAACAAGGAAAAAACAAACAAGAAAAGCACACCGTGACTAGGAGGTCAAAACCCATAATGCACAAAATCGATGCCAATATTGATCCTTTACTATCTCAGGTTTTATTCTGCAAAATGTGTGGAGTGAAAACGTATGAACGCTCAGATACGGTTCTTATAGCTGGGATACATCCAGGTACGGTTACAGACTTACTCAAGAAAATTTCACATTTAAGTGTTATAAACACTCTTGTGTTTCCATCACACCCTATATATGGTTACCATTAATGCTCTGAATAAATTGTCAACCGATTAACTAGCTGTTGAAAGCAAGGACAGAGACAAAAATAAAAACAAAAAAAAAGTTCAATTGATTTTATTGCAGGGAAAAAAAAGTGAGCCAGAGCAGTTTTTCTTCTTCTGGTGGTTAGGAGTGGCAGAGTAGTTAAGCATTATTGGTGGGCATGGTGGACATTCAGCACAGTAGGGCCTGTGCAGTTACAGGTTCTGTTAAAGAAGTTAATGTGGTGTCTGCAGCACATGGCAACAGAGCAAGATGTCAGATAGTATGATTTAAGAAGCTGGTGGAGAGCTAGAGCTGAGGCAGTTTAAGCAATGACAACATTTGTGGCAAGAATTCAATTTGGAGGTAATGTGACGGAGTAAAGTTTATCGCTGTTGCATTTTAAAATTTGTAAACAAGTGGCGATGTAGGGAAGGCTGCAACAGAAAACAGGGGTGGTGTAGTAGGAATGGAAGTGGCTGATAGAGAAGAAATGGATGCACGTACATGTTTTCTTCTTCTTGCTATAGTCCTGGTGTTTACAAGAGTTAGCAAGGTGCCAATATATCCTCATTCTCTTTAGTCTGTCCAGACGCAGATTGTGACCTGCATTAAAAGTAGGCATTTTCTGTACTGGTTTGAGATCCATGCAGGCCAAATAAGAATACCCAGTAGTAAACTATAAGTTTGGCATCTTCAAAATGGGTAATGGCTGCAATGTGGTCATAAACGTACCTGCTGATGGCAAAGCCAACATGCTTCACAAACAGTAAATAGTTGTCGGATACACACTGCGTCCAGCTCTTTGAACTTCCTAATAGCAACCTTTCTCAAATCATAAAAGGGCTTTGTAGTGGGTGCCATTTTGAATCCTTCTGAATTGATGGTTGCATAATGTTAAGCATTGGCATGGTTGCTGCAAGGGCAGATTAATTCGGAAATGTAATAAAGCCACCTCCTACAAGACCTGCCAGTGTACATCTTGAGTGCCATGATATACATGTCCCTACATTGCTTAACAATACTGTTGTGACTGCTCATTTTTAGGGTAAGTGGGGCACTGCAGTCCATCTACTTACATAGGAAAGACAACATTCTACTTATTATTGTTGTTTTTTTGCCTTTAAATTAGAGGCAGTGCTACAATGGGCATATCACAATTTCTAGCAGAAAAATAGGTAGGCAGAAATTTTTTTAAGCCCCTCCTCCTCACTATAAAATTCAAAGCCAAGCTCATGTAAAGAAAATAAAAAAATTATTAAATACGGGAGGAAATTAGAGATTCACTGCCTCTATTCATAAAGAAAAATAAATGTATGGTAAGTAAAAATTATTTTCTCTCCAGATTGGAGGCAGTTCAACAGGGAAGAACAAGCAATCCTAAAGGGCGGGATAACTTCACTACACTTTAAGCACCTTCCGCCCATAGAGAGTATCCTCAGAGGCCTGTAAGTCTATTCTGTAATGTCTTGCAAAGATGTGGATTAAGGACCATGTGACAACTTTGCATATCTGAACCGGGTAGCAAAGGCAGTTGACGCTGCTGCACTGGACTGTGCTTTAATTTGAAGCAGAGGAGACGGCCAGGGATAGTGCTTCTTTTATCCATCTGGCCAAGGATCCTTAGGAGGCCATAAATACTTTATTTTGGCCCTGGTAGAGGACAAACAGCTCTGAGCATCTGAATTGCTTTGTCCTTTTCAGGTAAGAGAAGAGTTATTTGACATCCAAATAATGTAATTTATTTTCCTTCTCATTCTGTGGATTCTAGGGAAGAGAGGGAGAGGGGGAAGGGTGCAGCTTTAACATAACCTTATCCAAATGAATGATAGATAAGGATAGGTTAGTAGCAAAAGTTCTCCAGAGAAGTAAAACACGTTCCACCTTGCTTGTTGATGTAGGCCACTGTAGTGATGTTGTCTGAGTGAATCTAAACACCTAGAATATGTTTGAATTTGACACCCATGCACTGTGATTGCACTGTGCATGCGTGAAGGTGGAACACATCGCAACAACTACGCCCATTTCACCTGACGAACCTCCCAGCAATGCACACTCACGTCACTTCCTGCACTCAGCACGGAGTGGGTAAAAGTAATAAAAGCGTGGAATGAAGGTGCCTGGCATGTATTCTTGAGCTCGAAAAGGGAAGAGCCAGGCCCACATGCAGAGCTGCTCTACAGACAAGCGGAGCCCTCACAGTCTGCAGCCGCCTCACCTGAATTGGAAAATAAAAGTTCTGCCTACCTACACTGCCTAAGACAGGCAGACAACAAGGGCATTGTGGATTTTTGGTACTTTTATATAGGGGTTTAACCTTTTTAAAAAACTATTTTTTTATTTATTTTTTTAAATACAGTTGTGCCTGCTTATTGCAGCAAGAAATAGTGATATCCCTATTGTTGCAATGCCTTTAATATGGATGCAAACATTGTTTATTTGGCTAACCCGAATTCAATTTTTCCTCTTGACGTGGAGACAGGCGCCGGAGGTATTCCAATTGGGAAACATGTATCCCAAGATGAGGAACCGCAATGGATAAACAAAATTTTTTTTAAAATGCAATGCTTATGGGAACAAAGGCCTGCTGGACAACTTGCTAAAGAAGAGCTGATAGAAAAACACCAAAACAAAAATAATTTTGAAAATGTCTGCAGTTTAGAACAAACGGCTACCTTGCAAATCACCACCATAGCCCAGAAAGTAGCTACGTTCACAGACAAAAAGAACAGACAGTGATCCTTTAACAAATTACCTTTTACATAAGGATAAAAACCCTGCTGAATTATCAACTTAAATCCCCAGGCCTAAATCAGAGCTTATGCTTTTTGAACTAACTTGTTACTTGTAACTGCTCTGAAAAAAATGTCCATTGAATATGTTGCATTTTCGAATAGTCCTATTATTTCCAACACAGTAGCTAAAACAAGGAACACAGCAAACACCAGTTTCCCCTTGATGGACTGATTAAAATGTACATAAAACGGCCATATCCTGGTTGAACATCAGGAAAGAGGTAACAATGCAAACAATTCCAATAAGAACAAGTAGCATGAAGATTTCAAATAGAAAAACTGCTTTAGAGGAAAGAAACCGAATACACAAATAAAGCTTATGTTCAAAGAAGAGGGGTGCATGAAGACCCTGAAAGGTACATTTAAACTGTAAAGAAGATTAATCAGGCAAACAGGTCTGCAAATGTGAGCCACATTTAAGTGAAAAGGTTTGAATCCCATGGAGACGAATCAGATGTTTGTGAGATAAGAGATCAGAGCCAAGCTGGAAACCTAGAGACACCTTCAATAGACTGACCTCTGGTCTCCCGACTGTTCACTACATTGCTAAACACCACTGAATTATGGTTTGGAACTCAATTTAAGGCACTCAGTTGGTCACTTTGTGTGTAATTGCCGATAACAAAACCTGGCTGAATCGAGTATGGAAAAAATTCTGAAGAAGTGCCATAAAAACCACTATAAGACACTTGCCTCCTTAAAAGCCTATGATCTTTTGACCAAAATTCAAGAAGGGGAGAAGAATTTGGGAAATATTGATCACAATATGGTAATTTTTAAAAATAAACTCAAAAAAGCAAAAGCAGGTGGGGTATACTAAAACGTATAATTTTAAAAAAGCTAATTTCAATAAGATTAGGGCAGCTCTACAACATATCGACTGGCATAAACACCTTAGTGAAAAAAACACTGAGGATAAATGGAAACTATTCAAACAAATATTAGAAAGGTACATTTCTCAGTATGTACCATTGGGTAATAAATATAAAAGAAACAAATTGAAACCAATGTGACTTAGTAGAGAAGTAAAACAAGAGATTAAAAATAAGAAAGAGGCATTTAAAGCATTTAAAGTGGACAAATCAGAGGCATCCTATATAAGATATAAGGAAGCCAATAATGCTTGCAAAAAGGCAATAAAAGTGGCTAAACTAGAAAATGAGAAATTGATAGCCAAAGAATGCAAAAACAACCTCCAAAATGTTTTCAAATACATCAACTCTAAAAAAATAAAAAAATGAAAGTGTAGGTACACTGGAAACAGCGATTGGTTTGTTAGTTAATGAAGATCAGGAAAAGGCAGACATTTTGAATAACTATTTTTCTTCAGTATATATTAATGAGGATCCTATGGAAAGCGATATGCAAATGATTGCTACAAACAACTTGCAGATAATTTGTGATTGGATAACTCGAGACAAGGTGCTAAAGCTCCGGGGCCTGACGGTATTCACCCACGAGTACTTAGGGAGCTAAGAAGGGAAATAAGTGAATACGTTTTCAAGATTCTTTTGTTTCAGGTATTGTACCAGAGGATTGTAGGAAGGCAGGTGTCGTTAACTTAACTTCTGTGACTGGGAAAATATTAGAAGGGCTATTAAGGGATAATATTCAGGAATTCATTGGGAAGAACTTATTAGCAATAATCAGCATGGTTTAATGAAACATAGGTCATGTCAAACTAACCTAATTGCATTCTACAAAGAAGTAAGTAGAAGTTTAGATCAGGGTGTTGCAGTGGATATGATCTACTTGGATTTTATCAAGGCATTTGATATGGTTCCTCACAATAGGTTAGTCTTCAAATTAAAAGAAATTGGTTTAGATGATTATTCTTGTTCTTGGGTAGAACATTGGCTTAAGGATAGAGTACAACGAGTTGACATTAATGGTAAATTTTCAGGCTGGACAAAAATGGTAAGTGGTGTCCCTCAGGGTTCTGTTTTAGGACCGCTTCTTTTTAGCATGTTTATAAATTATCTTCAAATGGGCATTAAAAGCCATGTTTCCGTGTTTGCAGATGACACAACAGGGAATAAGATAACATTATACAAATATATTCGGGGCCAGTACAGACCATTGTCAAGACATCATCCAAATAATGTGCCAACACAACATTCATGGTGGTTTCCAGCACCTTGTTGAGCACCATATGCAGAAAGTATACATTTAATAAATTTTGCCTATTCAAAAGTAGCTTTTCATGCACATCACTGCTCAATTCCTCTTGAAATTATTCAACCTTTTTGGCCAGTTAGAAATTGAATAACATTTCTATTGCATATGTCCAGATATAACAGGTCATGCCGTCACTGAATGCCATCTTGCTTGCCCTGCATTGTTTCAGGTATCGCCCTACCTGCTCCTAAAGGAGCCATAAACACTCATGTCTGCACCCGGACGGTCCGCAAGGCAGACAGCCACTGCAGGGGCTCCCAACCCAGGAACTACAAGTCCAGGCTCGTGGCTGCCCAAAGAGCGCTGTCTTCGGTGCTACCTACATGGAGATATCCACCGGAGAGAGACGCTAACCCCACCAGACTCCCTGGAACTATGAGTCGGCTTCACGGCCGCAGAGATTGCTGACTGCCTGGAAGTCCGTGTCGGCCAATAGGAAAAGGGCTACCATTTAAACTGGTTTTGCGCCCTTTCTCCCGATTGCCAGGCGAAACACCTCCCTCCCTGAGCGCTGATTGGTGCAAATTGGTTTGCGCCCTTTCTCCTGATTGGCCACTTCTTGGTTTAGGTGCGAAATTTGAATCAACGACCGAAACCAAGTGATTCTGTGGAGCTATTTCTGGGGATGTACAGAGCTTCAAGCCCAGACCTTGTACAACAATTTCCCGGGCTCTGTACATCTATTAGCTACGCTATTTGCAGGGATTATAGCTGGGACCAGGAGCTATTTGGGGATGTATGTCATGTGGGGATGCGTTATTGTATGTATTTTTGTGGTGTTGGAGTGTTCGGCTTCCTGTGTCCGGGAGATATCATTATCTCCCAGACACAGCGTCATGTTACTTTGAATGGAAACTCCCTGCTGGGGGTCTGTGCATAAATACTGTGTATCTTGCCTGAAATAAACAGTTCTATTTCACTCGTCACGAGGTCTCGACTAGTGTTTGGGTGATACCACGATTGCCCTCCTGCAAGTGACTATAATCATTGACTAGCCTCTCTAATCACTCTAGGGCTGGGCACAACTAGGAAGGGACGACCACAGGCGGTAGTAACCCATCCTCGAGAGGGTATACCGCCACAACAGGCAAAGCATCAAATACGTAGATATGCATTTTATGAAAATATATTTATATATAAAAGGATTTAAAGGGCAATGTACATCGCTCACCTAGATTGCTACACACAGCTCATCTGTTTAACCGGACGTTAAAGCCCTGGACGATGACATAGATTGTCATGTGGTCGTCAAGTAGTTAAAAATCGTCAATGGTTTTCTATCAATGACAATCAAGACATTACTGTTTACAAAAACTCCTGAGCTCATAATGAGGCCAATTAATCAAAATGGATTGCAAAAAACAACTCCACTACAGATGTCCACACTCCATACTAAATTAAAAACCTTAGGAAATCAAAACATCTGTGGTTAAAATAAATAATAAAAAAATTTAAAAAGTTTCTGACAATATTGAGGAATTAATTGTGCACACACATTTGTAGGAGTCAGCATATTTTGACATTATTTGCATATCATAAAACAAACTAGCATTCTATGAATAAGTCAGTAGAAGTAGAAATAAGGGTTTTAGAGTTTGCGGCTACTGTAAAAATTGCAAGAAATTTAATTTAGATAGAAATTCTTGTTCTTGTCTTGCCCACTGGCTAAAAGATAGAGTGGATAGAGTAGTAATTCTGGGTCTTCTCTTTTGTTTATTAATTATATTGCAAAGGGCATCAAAAGTCATAAGCAACTACTTAAAATACAGGTAAAACAGTGTGAGCAGAGTATCAGTGTGAGAGGGATTTAAAATTCTGAAATTTGAAAAACATGAGGGAACTAATGTAGATAATGCATTTTGTGATAATGAACACACAAGCAAATTATACCCTAATTGTATTAAATTAGGTAAACAGTATGAGAAGGGCTTGGGAATACTTATAGACAACAGGCTTGGCAGCAGTCTGTCAGCAGGTCCATAAGGTATTGTCATGCAAAAAAAGGCAAATTAATTACATGATGAAAATATAATTTTGCATTTTTATAAAACAATGGTACCACAGCATAGGCACTTGATTTAAACCCTTATATTTGGAAAAATACAAAGTGCAGTGACGGGCTACAAAATGAATGGGACACTCTAAGCAAAGATACAACTCTAGCTTAATGAAGCCGTTTTGGTGTATAGATTGAGACCCTGCAGTCTTCACTTTTCTGATAAATATGTTACATCGCTTTTTTTTTTTTGTTTGTTTATGTAGCCCTTGTCTAGTTTTCCGGCTGTGACCCACATAGCCTTCATGAATAAAGAAAAATGGTTTTAATTTTTAATGAGATCTTACAGCACAGTGTGTTTACTTTAGCACTCCTGCTCTCTTAATTTAACTTTTATCACACACAGGATGCAGCATGCTATTAAAAAGGAGATAAATTCTAAAATCAAAACAATGTGCAAGGGAAGCGAAAACGTTTTTTTTTTGGTTTTTTCCTTTTTTAGACAGTGTGCAGGGAGGCTGCATGTGTCAGAGCCAGGGGAGGTTTGGCTAGGACTGCATAAATAAAATTGATTTAACTCCTAAATGGCAGAGAATTTAATATTGAGCTAAAGCCATATCTATCACTAAAAGGAACTCCTCAATCTTGAAAGGTACACAATTAAGATAATTTAAAGGAACGTTCCAAGCACAATAACCAATACAGCATGATTATCGTTAAAATTAAGCTTGAGGATTATAGTACCAGGAGTGACCTGGTGCCCCTCCCCACTGTAAATGGTCAAGCCAATTTAGGAGCTTTTGACTCTCCTGTAGGCTTTAATGAAAGCATGGAGCGGCATCTGACAAAGGTGCAAAGGCACTCCTGGTGCATCAACAACTATAATGTGCTCTATTGGTTATTGTGCTTGGCATTTTCCTTCAAAAGTCTTAAATTTTTATTTGTTTTTTTTTTGCAGCTGGTATTTTTTTTTTTTACAGCTATAAGCACCAAATGCTGTAGACTAGGTTTGGACTTGGCTCTATGATCATATATGGTAGTCACTGAGAATGGAGTCATGTACATAATTAGGTCCCTGTCAAAAAAAAAGGTTAAGATGCATTGATCTAGATAACCTATTATAAATTCACATTTACCTCACATTGGCCTTTTACATTTTTGTTCTAAAAATATCACCACTACAGGTTAGACTGCTGGTCACATGTGTGCATAACAGCATGTAGCATACCAGGCAAAATAAATATTCAGCCTTTCCTTTTAAATGATTTTATTTAATAAATAAATAAATAAAAATGCATATGGAACGATTGGTAACTGCAATTCTGTGAATCTGGAATTCTTGTAACTCTATTCACCCACCCTTGCTTGTGCCGACCTCCTGTTACACTGGGATTTTGCATACTTTATTTTCTTCACTCCTTTGTCAATTTTGCTGTATACTGGAGATTGCACACACACATTTTGGTCTACTTGGTATAGAAACCTAAAATTTGTATGTACAACATTGATTAAATTGATCTGGTCTTGTGAAAAATGTAGTAAACATTACCAACCTAACCCCATCCCCACCCCCCTAAAAGAAACCCCCAGCAGATCTAAGTCGTAAAGAAAAAGAATCCTGAATTAAAAACAAAACTAATCTAAAGACTAATATTCTAAACGTACAGTGACACAGTTCAAGAACACACAAATTACCACATATTTTATACACCCAAAGTCTGATTGTTACCCACCATAATTTATGTAAGAAACACAGAATAATAATTTTTAGTATAAATAAAATAGTGGTCATTTATGTCTCATTCATCCAGAACAAGGTGTGCGACAATAATAGAATCTGCTTATCAGTTATCTTAAAATAACATACAGCTAGCAGGGAACATCATCTCATCATGAGGTGTTAATCATACTTTCACATCATCAAGAACAAAACGTAGGTTCTGATTGTCAATGGAAAATTCCCATGATATCGCAGGAATGACACTTACGTCGTAAACCCCACATTTGCTCCAGGCATTCACACACTAACCTACTTTCAGATATGTGTGCACTTAACGTTTATGATAATGCTCACATGAGACTATATGCTATCAGACATACTGCTGGAGACTTATAGAAGAATGAACACTTCACAATAATCTAGAAGCCACATTGTACCTTGGAGATTCAGAGGTTAATTACAAGTTTGCTCTTGAAGAGAACACGATGTGCAGGAAGTATAGTGTGACTATACTAGTTTGTAGGTTTCCCTAGACCTCCAGGTAGTGTGATGTTATGAGGATAACGGATTTATGTTTCCCAAGAAACAAGTCTCACTGTGTTTCATTCCAGACTCAATGAACCATCACAATGTTGTTCCATTTCTATTATATTCAAAATTAAGAAGGCTCTCAACCTGTGAATCAGTATTTATATACACAAATGAGAGACTGCAGGGACAGACTCTTTGCATCTGAACCACTACATTAAAGGAACACTATAGGGTCAGAAACACAAACATGTATTTCGGACCCTATAGTGTTAAAATCACTATCTAGCCCCCCTGAACAGTAAAATATTACATTTATTCCAGTCTGCTGGTGCTGGCTCTGCCCCTGATCTGCCTCCTTGGCTGACATCATCAGAAGTGATGATCTCAGCAAATCCCAATGCTTTCCCATTGGAAAATATTGGATTGGCGGAGATTGTCAATTGATGTCAGTTATTGATCTCGGCCAAGGAAGAGGGCTGGGGCGGAGCCAAATGCCACTCTGGCCAATAAGCATCTCCTCATAGAAATGCATTGAATCAATGCATCTCTATGAGGAAAGCTCAGTGTCTAAATGCAGAGGAAAAAAGCCTGGAGTAAACACTGTAGTTGTCCTGGTGATTATATAGTGTCCCTTTAAGCTTTGTGTGTTATTTATGTATACATCAACTCAGGAAGCCAGAACTCGGCAAAACACATCCTGGTGAATTGGACTTTTACACTATTGCTTATACAGATTTGACTTTTCATCTTATTTTAGATTTTGATTTATTTAATAAATTGGTTGTGTTAACGTGGAACCAACTATTTCATAAATTTAGGGGGTACCATCCGAACCACCATCCTCCAACTTCAAGTGTGACTAAGGACACACACACTAGAGCCAGGTGACACTGTGGCTCTATCTTTGTGAGTGTGCTCTTATCACATGATCTATATTTATTGTGATATAAGGTTTAATGCACTATTGTGTGTTCCTCTTATGTAATTCAGCAAATATTAATATACAAAGAAGAAAGAGAAGCATCTTTATATATGTTTTAGCTCCACCTATTGTGCATTGTACTATTGCAATTAATGCACACGTGTTATATTATAAAGTAATGTTTCCTATGCTGCACATTACATATGGCAAATAAAAACACTTGCTGTTTTTTAAGTATACTTTAATGGTTTGTTATATGAAAATAAGCCATATTCTTCAATGTCTAAATGTTTAGGACACAAAATTGGAGAAATGGGTGAGGTAGAAGTCGAAATTATATCTAAAACAAAAAGGTAAATAGAGAAAAGAAATCAAAAATAGGAAGAGTGACTTATGAACTGACCATCAATTCGACTCACAAGCTCTTCCAGTGCCTTCACCTTTTTCTGGATTCCTGGCTGAGCAAATGTGTAATTATCCTAAGAATGAAAAAAAAAAAAAAATAGTAGTTAACATAAGAATCAGAATCAAAAAGCAAATAGTCATTTATCACTCTAGGGTCTTCTGTCTCTAAAACACAGTAAGAATTTGTAATAAAGTATGTAAAGTAAATTAGAAAAAATATAGTCTGCAAGTCAGCACTTTTTGTCACCTGGATGCCATCAAGAAGCTTGCTCATACTCCAAAAGCTGTCGGCCTCAATGTTACGCAGAGTGTCCTGAGAAAGGCTGCTCACATCAAAATTCTCTACGTCTTCCTCTAGGAAAGTTATCCAAAATGTTGAAGAAATTAAGAAAAGAAACAAAGAATACTTCAGAACCAGACACTGCAACAGGTAAAGTGAGCATATATTACAAAAAGTATTTTAAAATTATAGACAACCATAAACCAAAATCCATAGGACACGTGTTCCTATACAGGTTAAGCCAGCGTTTCCCAATTGGTGTTCCACTGAACCCTGGTGTTCCGCCGAAATTTGGGGAAACAAAATGGCCGCTATGATTATTGAGGCGGGCAGCGAGGGAGCTGAGCAAGGGAGAGTGCTCCCTCACCGCCCGCCTCAATTAACGCAGATTGCACAGCAGTGATGGCGGAGCAGGAATATGACGTCACTCTGGCTCCGGTATCACTAAGAGGCGCCAGTCGCTCAGACCCCAGCGACTGCACGCCAGCTGCTTAGCCCAGCAACCCCACTGGACCCCAGGGAAATAGAAACGCCATGCCATCACTCTCAAAGGTAGGGAGGCTGGGTGGAGTGACATTAAAAATTAAATTGTGTGTTTGTCTGTTAAGGAGTTTGTATGTGTATGTGTGCTTGTCAGTGAGAGTGTATATGTGTGTATGTCAAAGAGTATGTGTGTGAGTGTCAAGGTTTGTGTATGTGTCACTGTGTGTATCTGAGTGTGTGTGTCAGTATGTGTGTGTATGTGCCAGTGTATATCAGTGTGTTTGTATGTGCCTATGTGTGTATGTGCCAGTGTGTGTATCTGTGTGTTAAGGTGTGTGTGTGTGTGTGTGTCTGTGTGCGTGTCAGATACATACACACACAGATCCATGATGTTGATACGCTATGTCAAAGGGTTTCACTGGATAAATCAATTAATTGGGAACCCCTGGGATAAGCTGTTTACACTTCATAAATAAAGGACATTCCAGGGACACTGTTTGTTAGGTTTTGGCCTCTTATTTAGGTTTCTGTCATCAGCAAACATTGCATGCTGGCAACAGAAATCCAATGACAGCACAATCCCATCAATAGTGCCACCTTAAGTTCTCCCTCAATAACATTACTTCCTTTGCAGACTGCAAGGAGAGCTTGGATTCGGCGCAGGATCACAGATAAGTTTATTTTCGTTTTTTTATTTTAAGGGGTTTTATTAAAACACTGTTTTTGGTTTCAGTAGCGCTTTCAGTTCCTTTTTTTCTTTTCAGAATATATTACTAGTTTAATTGCAGAGTTTAGATTAATATACATTTGTCTTCTCACCCACATGCTCTGTAAGGAATACCACGAAGAAAGGAGTAACCAGATCATTGATACCCTGCACATATCCACTTGCTGGGTGTCGGATTGCCCAGATAAACAATATCCTCTCAAAGATCTGTGACAAGAGGAGAAAAACATGACATTCCATAAATAGATGGGACGGAATATATATATATATATAAAAATATTTGACAGTATCCTCGAGGCACAAAAAAAACAACATTTATCCTCATCAAAACCTTCAAAAACTGAAGTTCTATACTTTCAGCATCATCAAACCTAGCACAACAAAGATGAATGCTGTTAAATCTGTTCAAAGAGAAGCATTGGGATAATGCTTCTCAGCAAGAATCAAGCCATTGCCACACATATGCTGCATGACATCAGTGTTGCTCTAGTGACCATCAGAATGATGATATCAAAGATGGAGTAGCTACGGCAAGGAGACTGGTAAGGTGCTGGATAAAAAGTTATTTTTTTATATAACACCACCACCGTACGGAGAGACAACATAAGTAAGATTGTACCACTAGATGCAAATACTCTCAGGCACTCCCTCAAGTACCCAAACAACTATATCTACCACAAAAAGAGATTGTACACTATAACCACTTATAAGAGATATATAAATGCGTTTACTCAACCAAAAAAGGTATACATGCAAAAAAACAAAACAAATCAAGGTGACAATAAATAGGCCAAATAAGTCAACAATAGTTACTAAAAGTCCACAAGCCTACTAGGACAGAAACACGAGCCACCAATGCCCCCAACGTTTCGGCACCTACTGGATGCCTTTTTCAAGGGTTTTGTTGTTTTTTGTATGGATACCTTTTTTGGTTGAATAAACGCATTTATATATCTCTTATAAGTGGTTATAGTGTGCAATCTCTTTGTGGTAGATTTATTTTTTAATACACTTCTAAAGAGTGGACCTGAATCTAAAAGTTAAAAGGAACACACAAGCATTATAAATAAAAATATTTCATTTATAAGATTAGAGTGTTCTTGTGTTAACAACATTAAAACTAAGGTGGCACTACCGGGTACTGGACAATGTTGAAGGTACAGGAAAAAAAACAAAAAAATAAATAAAACACGACTATAAGCCTCTAGAGCACAGGTATTACACCTGGTGCAGTGTCGGGCTCACCCTATGCCCTTGGCTGGGCCATAAGTTAATGGTTAGCTCCTCTCCAGGCCTGTTGCTTCAACCTACTGACACAGGATGGTATCGCCTGTGTTGCTGCTCTGGAGATAGTATTCGGCATCGCTACAAGCTCCTGCAATCTCAGCTCTGGTTCGTGATGGAGCCCCTTCCTTGAGTCCACGAATCCCCCTACTCTTGGTGGCAGGATCGCCAGCTCGCGGGACCTCCGAGGTCTGGAGGTCCTTGCGGGTGTGTGGACTTTGGTGCACAGATGTCTCCATGCGGGCCCTCAGCCCATAAAAAGTATGTGTGCTTGAGCATGCCTTGCGGGGCACACAGGCAGCAGGCCGGGTAAGCTGGGTCAATCTACTTGCAATGCAGTTCCAGAATGACTGGCAAATATAGCTTCAAATTGTGCCTTCCAGTCCCTGGCCATCCAAATCCATGCAGTCCTGTTTTGGCTCCGTCGCGGCAGCTATCTAGGTTGCGCCACTAGCCACTGGATGCAGGAAGCCCTGAGTTGTCAGGGAGGGAGTCTGAGTGAGCCAGTGGGGACAGTTATATCCCTCACCGGTCCAAAGGGTGAGTGACAGGGCTGTTGCAGGTCAGTTTCAGGATCAGCGCCCAGGGCCAAGGAATCGGCCATTTCCCCAGTCGCCGGCTCGTCTGCAGTAGTAGGCCTCATAGAAACATAGACTGTGACGGCAGATAAGAACCATTTTGCCCATCTAGTATGCCCAATTTTCTAAATACTTTCATTAGTCCCTGGCCTTATCTTATAGTTAGGATAGCCTTCTGCCTACCCCACTTATGCTTAAACTCCTTTACTGTGTTAACCTCTACCACTTCAGCTGGAAGGCTTTTCCATGCATCCACTACCCTCTCAATAAAGTGATACTTCCTGATATTTTTAAACTTTGTCCCTCTAATTAATACTATGTCCTCTTGTTGTGGTAGTTTTTCCTTCTTTTAAATATAGTCTCCTTTACTGTGTTGATTCCCTTTACGTATTTTATCCTGCAATCCATGAACCAGGGTAGTAGCCCTTCTCTGAATTCTCTCTAAAATATCCTTCTGGAGATACGGTTTCCAGTACTGCGTACTCACCAGTGTTCTGTACAATGGCATGAGCACTTCCATCTTTCTACTGCTAATACCTCTCCCTATACAATCAAGCATTCGACTAGCATTTCCTGCTGCTCTATTACATTGTCTGCCTACCTTTAAGTCATCAGAAATAATCACCCCTAAATCCCTTTCCTCAGATGTTCAGGTTAGGACTCTATCAAATATTCTGTACTCTGCCCTTGAGTTTTTACGTCAAAAATGGATTATCTTGCACTAATCCACATTAAATGTCAGTTGCCACAACTCTGACCATTTTTCTAGTTTACCTAAATCAATAGCCATTTGGCTTATCCCTCCTGGAACATCAACCCTGTTACATATCTTAGTATCATCAGCAAAAAGACATACCTTACCATCAAGACCTGCAATATAACTAATAAAAATATTAAAGAGAATGGGTCCAAGTACAGATCCCTGAGGTACCCCACTGGTAACTAGACCTTGCTTCGAATATACTCCATTGACAACAACCCTCTGTTGTCTGTCACTCAGCCACTCCCTTACTCATTCAACAATATTGGAATCCAAACTTTGCAGTTTATTGATAAGCTTTCTATGTGCAACAGTGTCAAAAGCCTTACTGAAATCTAGGTAAGCAATGTTTACTGCACCACCCTGATCCATTATTTTATTTACCCAATCAAAAAAAAAACAATAAGATTAGTTTGACATGAACTCCCTGAAGTAAACCCATGTTGTCTCTGGTCTTGAAATCCATGTGATTTTAGATGTTCAACAATTCTATCCTTTAACATGGTTTCCATTACTTTCCCCACTACTGAAGTAAGGCTTACTGGCCTATAGTGCCAAACTCCTCCCTACTACCTTTCTTGTGAATGGGCACAACATTCGCTAACTTCCAATATTCTGGGACTACTCCTGTTAACAATGATTGGTTAAATAAATCTGTTAATGGTTTTGCTAGTACACCACTAAGCTATTTTAATAACTTTGGGTATATTCCATCAGGTCCCATTGACTTATTTGTCTTTACTTTTGACAGTTGAAATTTAACCTCTTCCTCTGTAAACTCACATGTTACAAATGACTAATTTGTCATTTTTCCTAACTGAGGCCCCTTTCCTTAATTTTCATCTTTAAATACTGAACAAAAATATTAATTGAAGCAGTCAGCTGAGACGTTTATCCTCTTCTACATACCTTCCTTCTTTTGTTTTTAATCTAACTAATCCTTGTTTTACTTTCCTTTTCTCATTTATGTATCTAAAAAATGTCTTGTCCCCCCTCCCTTTTTTTTTTTTTTTTTTACTGACTGTGCTATTTTCTCTGCTGTGTGTGATTTGGAAGCTCATATAACTTGCTTAGCCTCTTTCTGCATAATCTTATAGATCACTCTGTCTTCCTCACTCTTGTTTTTTTTATAATTACTAAATGCTAACTTTTAGTTTTTTTTTTTACTGTTTTGGCCATATTTGTGGAGTACCACAGTGGTTTCTTGAATTTTTTGCTTTTACTGAAAAGCCTAATGCAAATTTCTGTTGCCTTCAGCCGTGCAACTTTTAAATAATCCCATTTCTTTTGGACTCCATTTAAAATTGCGCCAGTCTGATAATGACTCCTTTACACATATTCTAATTTTAGAAAAGTCTGTTTTTCTAAAGTCTAAAATGTTTGGGGTCCAGTGGGGCATCTGTCATCTCTCTGCTCCCTAGGAGTGTGGTTTAGTGATGTGGGACCGTAATTGCATCATATTCCGGCCCTGGGAAACTAGAGGGCATGCGAGGGAGATGACAACTCCCTCACCGCTGTGCTCATTTAGCAACCTTCCTCAGCTCTCAAATAGCCGACCGCCCGCCTCAGGGGCTTAACAGGCTCAAAAATCCCAAGTGCCAGGTCAAATTTCCTGGTTACCATGGCGACCTAGGATTTGTTGAGCCCTATTCTAGATGATCTATTGAATAAACTCCTATTGTGCTCATATGGATCATCATATACACAATGCACAATTTAATGAGAATGTCAAATAGTGCTGAATATGGACATAAACCTATCAAAGAAAAGTAATTGACACATGACAAATTGTATAAACCAACATAAATAAAAATAAAAATGTTTTCATAAGGGTAGTGGATGCATGGAATAGCCTTCCAGCTGAAGTGGTAGAGGTTAACACAGTAAAGGAGTTTAAGCATGCATGGGATAGGCATAAGGCTATCCTAACTATAAGATAAGGCTAGGGACTAATGAAAGTTTTTAGAAAATTGGGCAGACTAGATGGGCCGAATGGTTCTTATCTGCCGTCACATTCTATGTTTCTATGTTTCTATAACCAGTAGTAGTGTGCACTATAAACAAAGAAGAGTGAAGTCTGTTTTCTTTTTTTGTTGCCCATCAATGTATATATCACATATTTAATAGGGACACTGAAGGTACTACAACCATTTAATTCCATTGAATTGATGATAGTACTTCGGGCAGCGGTTTATTTACCGCAAGGCTGACCAGGCATTTGCCGTGGGCGTCAGTTTCAGGGGGGGTGGCAAAAAAGCCACCTAAGGGGCCCCCAGAGGCTGTCATGCGCGGATGTTGCGGTGCGTGCGAGGGAGCACTGACCCCTGAGCTCTTCCCAGCTCGGCTCGCGCACATCGCAGTGATGCCGGAATATGATGTCACTCCGGCTCCACTAAGGGGTGTGCAAGGGAGTTGAGCAGGGAGATCAGAGCTCCCTCGCCGCCTCCAATATTAGCCTGCCTACCCGCCCGACCACTTGCCCGTGTGCCTGCCAGGCCAGCCAGTAGCAACACCACTGGACCCCAGGGAAGAATCCACTTCAGCACTCCCAAAAGTGGTGAGGCTGGGTGGATTGAACTTTTAAAAAATGTTTTTTAACTATTATCTGTTAGTGTGTGTGTGTTCTGTTAGTGTGTGTGTGTCTGTTCTGTTAGTGTGTGTCTGTTCTGTTAATGAGTGTGTTAATGTGACTGTGTATGTGTTAGTGACTGTGTGTCGGTCACTGAGAATGTATATGTTTTTGTCCGTGAGTTTTTGTATGTGTGTGCATCCTTGTCTGTCAGCGTGTGTATGTGTGTCCATGAATGTTTATGTCTGACACTGAGTGTTGATATGTGTGTTTGTCAATGTGTATCTGTCAGTGAGTATATGTGTGTACTAGTGTGTGTCTGACACTGAGTGTGTATGCATTTCTTTCAGTAAGTGTGTATGAATTTCTGTCACAGTGTGTCTGTGTCAGTGAATGCGTGTCTGTCAGTGAATGCGTGTCTGTCAGTGAATGCGTGTCTGTCAGTGAATGCGTGTCTGTCAGTGAATGTGAGTGAGGGTAACTTAATGAGTGAGTGCATATGTCTGTGAATGTGTATGTTTCAGCGAGTGTGTGTTGGTTAAACAGTGTGTGTGACAATGATGGTGTATCTGTAAGTGAGTATGTCGATGCATGCATCAGTGGAGGCGTGTGTATGTCAGGAATAGAAATTTGAAAGGGGGGTGCCAAAGTTTTGTTATGCCTAGGGCAGCACAAAACCAGAATACACCACTGACTTTGAGTCAGGGCAAGGTCCCTCCTTTAATTATTAAATCTATTTCAATTAGTTTAGAACTAAAAATGGTCACAGGCCACACCCAGCTGATTCCCTACTGGCAGTACAGCTAAAGCAGAGTTTAAACACTACCTTCTAGCCATATTGATTCATACCAGCAATGGTACTGTGATAGTCTGAAAGCAGTAAGCTGACACGCTCAGCCAATCAAAGCCACCTATTCATGCTCGGGCTAATGCTTCCTCATTAGCACAAGCAACCCAGAGGGGGTGGGGGGCTGGGGACTCTCGTTTAAAACTTTTTATTACTGAACACTTTTCAGAAATCAGACTCTTTGTTTTAGGTATATTACATATTTAGAAGGAAAAGCATTAGATACACTTATACATCTACAAATTAAAGGGACACTTCAATCTTTAAAATGTGCAAAAATGCATTCAATAAAGATCAAAGCACAAATTTATATTTTTGTAAAACGGAAAATGCACAGGTTCAAGATAAAAAAATATATATTGTATATACACATATATATATATATATATATATATATATACACACACACACACACACACATATATATATACATACATATATATATATCTATCTCAATCAAACAATTCTCTTACAAGCAGCATCCAATAAAATCTGATTATTCCTTTAATAGGATACTCAAGAACAATAAATAATTTTCCTTGCACAGCTTCTGTGATAAATAGCTGAATGCTTAGCATCTGAATATGTATGCAATTTACAAAAAAAAAGTTTTGTTTTTTTTTTGTTTTTTTTTCAATGTTCAACATAAAATCTAACACTCATTTTGTAATGTCTGTGTTATAAATACATTATCCTTTAAGCGGTTTCATTTTCACAATCATATATGAAGCTATATGAATACCCTTTAAGACATGCTCCCATTGAAAAACAATAGGAAGGTCAGGATTTGTTTTTAATAAAAATCTGACATTTCCTGGTCTCTGAAAAAGTTTCACAATTGGCAACAGAAATTCAAACATTAGGATCCCCTTTTTCCTAAAACATTAGTACTGCAAATGCACTAACAAAAAAAACCAAAAACAGGTCCTTGCCTGGTGCAATAGCAATGAATAGAGCTAGAAGCAACTTCTTATTAATTGCTTAATAGGCATCAGAAGCCTGACGCTTCAATTTATTTGTGCATTCTCTTCACATTCATTGTGAATGAACAAATGAGAAGCTGAAAATGTGCTGTAACTGTACATGTGTGGGCTCTTGTGATATATGAAAAATTTACAACTCTCCCATGGGAACACTAAGGATCAGGATTGGAAGAGAGATCATATTGGTTGAAGAGGATGTCAACAAAGGTGCTTTGAATCATGTTAGAAAATACATTTTAAGAGGGTTGTATAGCCATCATCTCTCAAAATCTTAAGCATCCCATTAAATGAAAATATTTTGGTTGCGGGGGGGAGAGGGAGAGAGAGATGTGGGATTACAATTACTAGACAGAAAGTATACAAAATAAGTCACAGATTTTGCTTTTCACTTCATCTTCTAGGGCTTAAAATGTAAAGTCCTAAACGGATAGCAAGGCCTTAAAAAGTTATTTGCCACTGCAAGGCTGGAGGATCCATACCACACACACCAGGGCTAAATTTTCACGTGCCAATGTCTAGTAGAATATTTTAGCTCCCATATATATGTTCTATATGAACATCTAGCTGCCAATCACTGGAAATCAAGACTGGCTTTCCTTTACCAACAAGTATGAAGCTTTTAATCACTATTACTCACCTCTTGAACTAATGGCTGCTGAAATAATGGGATTAAGGGATTGGTCCTTGGAATATCAATATGGATCTGAAAGAAAAAAAAAACAAATATGACCTAGGTATATAGGACTGAAAATCTAGGTCATCAAAGGTCATAATGTGCATTTATATACTTTATATAACATTAAGTACCTGACGATATGTATCTTGGTGATTTTCCTCATTTCTGGAGTCATAATACTGTTCTATGAAGCCAAAATATTCTTCACGCTTACGTTGAAGCGTGAGAATGCGTCTTTCCTGGCTGGCAGGAAGGTAGCCCTGAAATGGGATGGACAGTTAGAACTTTTGCATCAACAAAAACTTGTATAGTATTTCTAAGACCAAATGATGCCATCTTACCGAAAGAAGCCTCCAAGTGGTGGGACGCACTTCACGAGGGATACCTGGCCAACTACATTTCCTTAACTCATCTGCAAATACACATTTAAAAAATATTTCATGAATCCACAAAGGAATTAATTATAAAGTAACTGATGGCTTTCATATCATTCAAATGTCACCTGCAAAAACAAAATCTATAAGCTTTGCCCATAAAAATGCATTGCCAGAGAGGAGATGTATTGAAAATTTAGTTTAAGTTAAACACAACAAACAATATGGGAATATTTGCTATTCATTTTGTGACGAAGTGCCCTTCGCCACTTGTGCCTGGAGAGGACTGCTTGCCCGCCTCTTGCCCTGTGACTATGGCCCCTGGGATGTATTGCCCTATAAAGACATGATTTGGGCATAATGGATTTGTGTTGTGCTGCTGCTGGCCCTTTAAGAACCATCTGGGGACATACTGTGGAGTTACTGGGTGGCCACCATTTCCTGTATCAGAAGCACATGGTGAGAACAATGGATGGCGGCCATTTTAACTCACAGACACTGTGTGGAGTTTTCAACACGGTGCCATCTCGCCAGTATTTGGTGCACAGAGACATCGTGTGGTGGTTTTGGACGATACAGCAGGGGACACATTATACAGTGATTGTTTTTTATTTAGCCTGTATATGTTCTGTGGAATCTGCATTAAACTGTATTTTCCAAAGTACTGAACGGATCTGGGTGAATTTTGGATATGTGGTTCAACCAGATCCCCCGGTTCCAAGGATATACTTTTTTATGGGGTTATTGCATGTTTTGGGGTCCCTGTGTGTTTTATGAAACTGTATAATTTCTGGCCAGCAGATAATTGAGCTTTGTGTATTGTAGAAATTCAATTATCTAGCCTGGCCCAGAGGAGGAGTTTTGTGTTGCATAAATTGTGAGTTCTGTGTGCCAGTAAATCAGTCTTGTTCCAGCATTAAGCCTTGGCTCATGTTTGGGGGGAGGGATACCTACACTCTGGGGATTGCTATAATCACTTACTCCCCAGAGGAAGCTCTTGCAATAGCTTGATTTGTTCCTGTTCCTGCTCTCTGGGGAAAGAGAGGTTCACCCACTGGAAGCTGGATCCTGGCCTTGGGTCCAGGGTGGGTGGAAACAGCAGAGACCCCGCCGCAGTTGCATCGCTGGAAGTGGGGTCTGCAGTGCTGATGGTGTCGGATGGAGTGCTTGGAGTCCTCAGCGAGCACTAGGAGCATCGATTGGCGGAGGTACTCAGTCGGAGTGCCAGCGTTCCGTCACACATTTGGGCACTTCGTCACAAAATGAATAGCAAATATTCCCATATTGTTTGTTGTGTTTAACTTAAGGGACTAGTGCCTCAGCAAAGGGAATTAGGTTTTTAAACTTGTTAAATGACACCTTCATGTCACAACTTGTACAAGCACCAACTAGAATGGATGCTTGTCTGGACCTGGTTTTAACAAACAACGTTGATCTTTTGACCAACATTCAAGTAGGTGAGCACTTGGGAAATAGTGATCACAATATAGTGTCCTTTGAAATAAACTCAAAAAAACAAAAGCACATGGGGAATACTAAAACATATAATTTTAAAAAGGCCAATTTCAATAAGTTAAGGGAAGCTTTACAATATATTGACTGGCATAAACTCTTTAGTGAAAAGAACACTGAGGATAAATGGATCATCTTCCAACAAATATTACAAAGGTACATTTCTCAGTATGTACCATTGGGAAATAAATATAAAAGAAACAAATTAAAACCAACATGGCTTAGTAGAGAAGTAAAACAAGAGATTACAACTAAGAGAAGGGCATTTAAAGCATTTAAATTGGACAAATCAGATGCATCTTATAAAAGATATAAGGATGCAAATAATGCAAAAGGCAATTAGACTTGCTAAACTTCAAAATGAAATAATGATAGCTGAAGAGAGCAAAACCAACCCCAAAGCATTTTTTAAGTACATAAATTCTAAAAAAACCCCAAAATGAAAGTGTAGGTACACTAAAAACTGAAACGGGGGTGTTAATTAATGAAGACCAGGAAAAGGCAGGAATTTTAAATAACTTTTTCTCCTCCGTATATATTAAGGAAGAACCCATGGCAATAGATGTGCAAATGATTGCTACTAAAACGTGCAGAATAATTGTAATTGGTTAACTCAAGACAAGATGCTGCAGCAACTAAAAAAAGTTAATATAAACAAAGCTCCAGGGCCTGGCGGTATCCATCCACTTGTACTTAAGGAACTAAGTGCAGAAATAAGTGAACCTCTGTTTTTAATCTTTCAAGATTCTTTTCTTTCAGGAAGTGTTCCGGAGGATTGGAGGAAGGCAGATGTGGTTCCTATATTCAAAAAGGGTTCAAAATCCTTGCCTGGAAATTATAGACCTGTGAGCTTAACTTCTGTGGCTGGTAAAATATTTGAAAGTTTATTAAGGGATAATATTCAAGAATTCCTTGAGAAGAATATGGTTATCAGCAAAAATCAGCATGGTTTTATGAAGCACAGGTCATGTCAAACTAACTTGATTGCGTTCTACGAAGAAGTAAGTAGAAGTATAGATCAGGGTGTTGCCGTGGATGTGATCTTTTTGGATTTTGCCAAGGCATTTGATACAGTTCCACACAATAGATTAGTGTTCAAACTCAAGGAAATCGGTCTAGATGAAAATACTTGTTCTTGGGTAGAACATTGGCTTAAAACAGAGTACAAAGAGTTGTCATTAATGGTAAATTTTCAAGCTGGACAGAGGTGGCAAGTGGTGTCCCTCAGGGGTCTGTTCTAGGACCCCTTCTATTTAACATGTTTATAAATGATCTTGAAGACCGCATTGAAAGTCATGTTTCAGTGTTTGCAGATGACACCAAACTTTGTAAAACAATACAATGTGAGCAAGATATTACTTTGCTGCAGAGGGATTTAGATAGACTGGGGGACTGGGCACTCAAATGGCAGATGAAATTTAATGTTGAAAAATGCAAAGTTATGCACTTCGGCGTAAAGAATACACAAGCAACGTATACCCTTAATGGAAGCGAATTAGGGATAACAACACATGAAAAGGACTTGGGAATTGTTATAGACAACAAACTATGCAACAATGTGCAATGTCAATCAGCAGTGGCCAAGGCCAGTAAGGTATTGTCATGCATGAAAAAGGGCATTCATTCTCGGGACAAGAATATAATTTTGCCTCTTTATAAATCACTGGTAAGACCCCATATTGAATATGCTGTGCAATTTTGGGCACCTGTTCTAAAGAAGGATATTATGGCACTAGAAAAAGTGCAGAGGCGGGCTACAAAATTAATAAAAGGAATGGAACATATCGGCTATGAAGAAAGGTTAACAAATTTAAACCTATTTAGTTTAGAAAAACGTCGCCTGAGAGGGGATATGATAACATTATACAAATATATTCGGGGCCAATACAAACCATTGTGTGGAAATCTATTCACAAACCGGACTTTACATAGGACACGAGGCCATGCGTTTAGACTGGAAGAAAGAAGATTTTGTCTAAGGCAAAGGAAAGGTTTTTTTTACTGTAAGAACAATCAGGATGTGGAATTCTCTGCCTGAAGAAGTGGTTTTATCAGAGTCCATACAGATGTTCAAAGCGGCTACTAGATGCATACTTGCAAGAACAGAATATTCAAGGATATAATCTTTCAATGTAGGTAATAACTGCTTGATCAAGGATAAATCTGACTGCCATTCTGGGGTCAAGAAGGAATTTTTTTCCTAGCTTGTTGCAAAATTGTGCTTCAAACTGGGTTTTTTTGCCTTCTTTTGGATCAACAGCAAAAAACAAATGTGAGGAAGGCTGAACTTGATGGACGCAAGTCTCTTTTCAGCTATGTAACTATGTAACTATGTAACATTTGTTCCAACATTGTTTCCTACTGTTTCATCAAGGGGAATTTCTAAACACCACAAGCCATCCAATCACTGACTATAAAGTCACAAGACTTGCATGGGAATATTCCGACCCAAGTACCATGAGAGACGGGATTTAACGGACACAGCGCTCTGATTGGCTGGCATATAAGCCTGCAAAGTAGGGTTCTACAGACATTTCATAGCTTGGGAAAGCTTTCATTTATTTTTTCAGGTTAAGTTGTTTATTTTTTTTACCCAGAAGCATTGGGTTATTATGAATTTTATATGGAAGAAAATAAGTTTTAAGATAAAAAGAATACATCTCAAGGTAAGTACAAATCTGTTTGTTTTTTTAAACTGGTTTTAGATTTTCAGACGCAAATTCCAAGCTCACGCTATTCATTTTAACAATACATTATCATTAAATGTATTTTAAAATTTAAGTCCAATATAGCCCAAATGGAAAATTTCTCCTAGTTTGGCTGCTTTGTTTTATATTTGAAATTCACTTTAAAATGACAAACAAGTTTCACTTTAGTAAATAACACTGCAAATTTCAAAATGAGTTTGAAATGGGTTTTTCCTTTTTTTTTTTTTTCTCATGTTAAATATGTATAACAAAATACAGCTCTTAATCCATAGACATAATAAAAAATAAAAAAATAATAAAATCTAATTCCCAAATTATCTTTAACCTTTTTTTCTTTTTTTTTTATAAATGACCCTTTGTTTAGAAGATAAGTTATTGATTTAGGTTAGTGTCTTATTTAGAGATAGATAATAGAATAAAAGTAAAAGCATACCGAGATCAGTGTTGGAGCAGGACAGCAGCTGCCTGAACTTTTCAAGTCGTGTTTTTTCTCTTACAGTCATTGGAGGTGCACCAGACGCATTCTGATCAGAAATCCTGGCCACAAGGGGGATAATAGGGCGAAGTGGAAGTGACTGTTGCTTCTGCAGAGATTTCCGTAATATTAAGTCATCTATTGCACATGGGGATAAAACAACAAGGATGCTTATGGAGACATTGTATTGTAAAGGAACACTGTAAGCACCAACAATTGTTTAAATACTTAATTGTTTGCTTATTTAACAGATTTTGGCATTACAGTTTTGAAATATTTGGCTCCTTAGCTATGATCTCCTTATCACACAGTGTATTCCTGGACTGCCGTCTGTATCTTACTACCTAGTCAGCCACTGAGAGCAGTATGAGTTGAGCAGCATTTGGAAAAGCAGACTAGACCAATAAGATAGGCATATAAATAAACAGGTTTACTCCTACAAGTATGTCTGTCTGATGTCTATTTTTATGTTTTATGCTTTGCTTTATATATCCTGGGATTCAGCTCAAATCAACCATTAGGTTTCAGGTTATATCAGAGTACAGAGCACAGAAATACAAAATAAATTTAACAAAGAACATTAGTGGCAATCATAGAATAATTGTACAGATTGCATGGGGCAAAAAGATAGTCATGCTGCAAAAGGCATACAATATCGCTACAAAATAGCAGCTTATCATGCACCTTTGTCACATAAATTTTATTGACTGCAAGTATGGCCAAAGAGACCGTACAGTAATACCAAGATGAAAAGTAGGGCAGTTAGAAACTGGGATGTAATGTAGTGGTGGGATGATCAAAGTATTGGAAGGGGATCTATTGATAGGCTTTCATGGGCACTTAAAGGGTATTCATGGGCACTTAAAGGGTATTCATGGGCACTTAAAGTTACTCTGGATGTCCTCAGGCATAGCATAAAGATGTCCAGCGTCAGTTATGCGAATAAAAGTTATTAAAAACTGCAATAATTACCACTGCAGAGTTAAAGGACCACTCTAGGCACCCAGACCACTTCAGCTTAATGAAGTGGTCTGGGTGCCAGGTCCAGCTAGGGTTAACCCATTTTTTAATAAACATAGCAGTTTCAGAGAAACTGCTATGTTTATCAATGGGTTAAGCCTTCCCCCTAATCCTCTAGTGGCTATCTCATTGACAGCCACTAGAGGCGCTTGCGTGCTTCTCACTGTGATTTTCACAGTGAGAGCACGCCAGCGTCCATAGGAAAGCATTGTAAATGCTTTCCTATGTGACCGGCTGAATGCGCGCGCAGCTCTTGCCGCGCGTGCGCATTCAGCCGGCGGGGAGGATCAGAGGAGGAGAGCTCTCCGCCCAGCGCTGGAAAAAGGTAAGTTTTAACCCCGTTCCCCTTTCCAGAGCCAGGCGGGAGGGGGGTCCCTGAGGTTGGGGGCACCCTCAGGGCACTATAGTGCCAGGAAAACGAGTATGTTTTCCTGGCACTATAGTGGTCCTTTAAGGGCCCAGGGACACTGTACACAAACCACTTCAATGAACTCAAGTTGTCTTGGTGCTTATATAGTGCCCCTTTAAGCTGTAGTTCGGTGACTATAATGACCCTTTAAGTTGTGGGAGTAAGTAGCAGTGATCAGTAGGAATGGCAACTAAGTAATACAAAAGCATTTGTTGAAAGCAGACTTTTGAAATTAGTGACCAGCCTCTGTACCCATGTATCAGTATGCACCTGTATCCTCCCTTGGGAGGAGAACAATATTTTTTCCCGAATTCTCATAGAGCTACATTTTGGAGTACTAAGGAGATATTGGTAATATATTTTATTGCATTTGGTGTTCATGTATGTACATATATAAAAAGGCTACAGGTGTCAAAGTTTTGATACTTGCAACCAGCAGTTTTAGAATAAACTATTTCCACTATTTTTAACTGAATCATATTTTGAGACAAGTATCTAACAGAAGGAAAGTGATAAAGTTGTGTACCCAAATAGAATAAGAAATGAGGGACTTCTCTTCTTGGAGAAGGAAAACAAAGTGAAAGAAGGGATTTGGATAAATATCCAATATATTAAACTGACAGAAGAACTAAAAATAGTTCAGAATTAAAATGTTAGCTCAACCAAACCACTGAAAGTGAGGTAGATTTCATGTTTTCAAATCTCTAGAGAGCTGCTGTGGTATAGGACACAGCTGCTGTGGTATAGGACGGAAGATACCATTGTAAAAGTCCTGAATCTGGGGGCTAGCTGTGTATCCCAAGGTATTTTATCCTATTTACCACCCCATAGGAAGGGGACATTTGTCAGTTACAAACTGTGAGTGGGTTGTTGTATTTAGAATGTCCCTCTTATCCCAGGTCATTTTGATATAGGATAGACAAATTAACATTTTCATTTCCCTCATTAGGAGCAGAAGTGGATGTACAGGATCTGAAAGATGTGCCATCTGGCTATACACCTTCAATATTAGGGTTAATCCTCATTCCTTGAAGGAACAGTTCCATTACAAGAACAAATAGAAGTTGAGACAGACGGCTTTCCAACAAAGTACCTATATTGACAGGAAAGGGTAGGGAGTGCGGTCTATTTACCCCATAAATGCTGGGATTAGATTATAGGGTACAAGTCCAGATTAATCATATGGGCCCACAGCATACCTGGTATATGCATCCACCGAAAACCAGAGAAAAGAGCATTGGCCAAGTTAATAGTTTTGTTGTGTGGTCTTTAGCTTAACGGAAGCCAGTCTGATCAGAGTGAACTACTCCTATGAATAATAAGAGAAGTATCCAACATTTTGACAATTTTGTGTCTTGCCTCATCAAAAGTTTTTATAACGCAACTTCATTTTTTCAGTTTTGTACAATTCTTACACTTTATTTTTTTTCCCTTCAGTTTTCACAGTCATTTACCTAAAAACAAAAACACCCAGTCAACCTTAGAAAGTGATCTCTTCTTTCGCAGGTAATCTAGAAAATAGCCCCTTCTCACCAATAGCCACAAAGACAACCACAGAAAGTAACCTTAGCAATAAGCACCCAGGTATCCTCAAAAGTGGTCCCTTGCTTGCAGATAACCAGCTAGAAACCCCACAAGGAAAGTGGCCCTCAGCAATAAGCATCCACATATGCTCAAAACGTGGCCCTCTGCTCGCAATTAAGTGACTAGGAATCCAAAGAGGTTAGCCCTTTCTATCCAATAAATGCCCCAGGAGTTCCAAGACAGTAGCTACTGTTGACCAATAGGTGGGGACAGTGGACCCTGCTTTGCAATAGATGCTCGACAGGAAAATGCCCCCTACTCACCAATACACACCCAGGTACCTCAGTAAAATAGTCCTGTTTGCCAATAGCAGCCTAGAAAACCCAGCATCCCAGGAAAGTTGCCCATGGTCGCCAAAAGCCTCTTAGAAGTCATCAAGGAAAGTAGTCCTTGCTCATCAAATGGTTTTCCCTGAACATTAGTTAGGCAAAAAATGTTTGCCTGAAATTACGATTTGCCTCCTACATTACAATGATAAAATATATGGTTCTGTAACTACCACTGCTTGACATATCTTTGTTGTTAGAACAAAATACAGTAAGGAAAACAGCACATTGGTTGATTTAGTTGTTTTGAGTATACTCATGGCCTCACCTGCAGTTATCCTGTGCAGCTGATCTTCACTCATGGATTTTATAACAGAAGAGGCTTGGCAGCGGTTTTCTTCTTGAAGTTTAAAGTGACTCTCAATGACCTTCACAGCAGTCACCTCAGCCACCCTGGAGTTGAGAGTCTGATAAAAAGGCGGATGTTGAGCCTCATCTCGCTCATCTTCTTCAATATTCCAGGCATCACTTGTATTCCTTGCAAATTCGTGGAAACTGGAGGCTTTTCTGCTCTTTGGATGAAATGGGGGCACCCTGGAACGTTCATGCAAGGAACTGTCCAAATATATACTGGTAAGTGTAAAGACACACACATAAAATATGCAAAGATGGAATATATAGAATATACACAACAAGCAATCAGGTAAGGATATAGATATACCTCTTAAGGCGCACAGGGTCTAGCGGTGGGTGCTGAGCTCCATACACTGGCTGTATGCTGAAGGAAATAAAAAACAAAGACTATTTTAGAATTTTATATTTAATGTATTTACCAAAACAAATTTTCATAGTATTATTGAGTCTCAACCAGCTGAGAATCATGAGGATGTCAGTAGAAGGCAATAAATAGTTGTAGATTTCTTTGCCTATAAAGCACAATCCCTGGCAATTGGTGGAGGTTAAAGGAAAAGTGTCATAAAAGTTTTACTTCTCATTTTTAAAAACTTTTATTACATTTAATGAAACTTAAAGGGTTACTACGGGCACCATGATCACTAATTTGAAGTGATCATTGAAATGCTGCACATATGGAATAAACCCCCTCTGCTGCTGGAGGTGTAAGTACAACTCTGGCAGCATCATTGAGGTGTCATCAGCAAGCCCGGAACAAGAATTCCAGGCTGGCTAATATTTATGCACACATTTTGATGCACAGACACTCATTACTTGCTGTAGTGGCTATGATGGTTGGAGAAACTGATTTTTTTTCCTTCTTCTAAAGCTGTATTTAAATTTATTTATTTTCCTCTGGCTGAGCAGCTATGTTGGGTCAGACACTGCTGCACAACTTAACTCCTTCTGGAAATTAGGTGCTATGCTGTCCTATAAAAGGACGACATTAACACAGTTAGCGCAGCATAGCACTCCCTAATGATTTGGTCCTCTCTCCCACCTGATAATTAACCCTCTGCTCCGACTGCAAGACCTGCCTGACAACCCAGGCAGTCCCTCTGCAGCCAATCAGAGTCAAGTCATCGCGGTGACAAGTCACAGGATTCGGATTGGCTGCAGGGGGACAGTCTGGGTTGTCAGATAGATCCGCCAATAGAATGAAATATATAGATATATATTTCTTCTTTTCATTCTATTGACAGATCTACCTGACAATCCAGACAGTCCCTCCACAGCCAATCCAGCTGATTATAATAATACTCCCCACACTGTCCCTTCTCTCCCTCCCCCCTCTCCACACTCTTCTCCTCCCTCCCCCTCTCCACACTGTCACCCTTCTCTCCCTCCCCCCTCTCACACTGTCACCCCTTCTCTCCCTCCCCCTCTCCACACTGTCACCCCTTCTCTCCTCCCCTCTCCACACTGTCACCCCTTCTCTCCCTCCCCCCTCTCCACACTGTCACCCCTTCTCTCCCTCCCCCCATTTTGGCTCTCTCCCAGCTCCCCCATTCTAGCTCTCTCCCCCCTTGCGCTCACTGAAGCCTTATCTCCGTGTACACCCCACACTGTAACCCTTTCTCCCCCTGCCTGCCCCTGTAACCCTTTCTCCCCCTGCCCGCCCACTGTAACCCTTTCTCTTCTGACCACCCACCACTGTCACCAGCACATACACACTCCCTCTCACAATGTCACCTTCACCTCTTCGTCTCTGTCTGTATGCATGTATATCTGTGTGTCCTTTTGTGATAGTGTATTTATGGGTGTGTGTGTGTGTACATGAGTGTATGTATCTGTGTGTCATTGTGTGTGTGTACACCTGCATTCAAACACCAACATTCACACACATACTACATACAAAAACATGCTTACATTCAAAACACACATTGTGTATATGTATATTTTATATACACAATACACACACACTGCATCAACTACACACACACACTCTGCAGCCACTTAACAAGCACTGCAATCAAACGCAAACATTACAAGCACACTCCTGTATTAAAACACTAAAATTATATACAAACACCCCTTGCATGCAAACACAAATACTACACAAAAAGCACATCTGCATTTGAAGTCCAGCACTACTGACAAACACCCCTGCATTCAGACGCAAACATTACTAACAAGTACACCACTACATTCCAATGGGAACAACACATAAATATACCAATATATGCACACCTATACTTAATACAAAAACATGCTTACATTCAAACGCTCAAACACTACTCACAAATAGAACCCTGCAACGATGCGCAGATCCCCAGCAGATGGCTACCTTTTGGCCACACTTGCACTACAGGGGGGCCCAAAAAACATACTTGCACCAGGGCCCTCTCTACATTAGTTCCACCACTGGGATAATCAACGTGAGGTGCCTGGATGAAAGAGCGGCGCAGCACTTCTGTTTCTGACAGTCTATGGAGTAAGCAGTTATATGCCTCAAACAGATTGCCATGATGTGCCAAGTTTCTGCCTCTAAAACTGCCATAATATGCTAAATTATGTCTCTAAAACTGATTGCCAATTGTATGCCTGTAAAGCAGATTGCCATGCTGTGCCAATTGTATGCATCTAAAGCTAATTGCTATAGTATGCAAATTGTATGCCTCTAAAGCAGATTGCCATGGTGTGCCAATTGTATGCCTCTAAAGCAGATTGCCATGGTGTTCATTTTTTAAATATGCATTAAAAGTAAGTGGGTCTCGGTATAGCGAGTAGGGGCAGAATTTACTAATACTAAGTAATCTTTACTTAGCATTAGTAAATTTGGATGAAAGACCAATATGTCTTTCAGCCTTTTGGTAGAGCGCTCCCTGATACTGTGGTAATTAGAGAGTTAACTACTAAGCGGCTGCAAGATGATGCCGTGGCACGAATAGGATTGGAGTGTCATTCATTCGAATGAAATTCTGATCCGAACCAAGTCCCAAATTGCGTCCTAACACGAATGGAGAAACGGTTTTCATTCTGTGAGGACGCAATTCAGTAGTTTCGTCGGCGTTCTGTCTAAATGACAGGACGTTCGGGAAAAATGAAAGGAGGCTTCGCGGGAAAGGTGAGAATTGTGGGAAAATTGCTCCGACCACCGGAAATTAAGCACACTTTGCTCCTCCACTGGTTAGAGATGGTCAGGCGTAGGAAACCTCCATAAGACAAATAGTCCCTACTTCACTTAGGTTTTAAAGAAAACTAGAGTAGACACGAAGAAATGAACAGATCCTGAGAGAAGGAGAGAAGAGGAATCAATTAAAGAAAGGTAAAGTTTGGCAGATATCCAAAGCAGAACTTTAAAAATAAACTTTAATTTCTCCTTTTCAGCTTTTATTTATACAAATCGTTTCATATATAAATATTTGATGTGAAATTAAAGCCCTATTTCTCCTAAACAAAATATATAATAAGTGTGGGTGCACTTAATATGAAAAAAGGTAATTTATGGATGAATAGACGTATAGCTCAAATTCTATGTTTTGTTTTGGTTCAGAACTAGGACAATTAACCCCTTAAGGATGCAACTTCAAAAACTGGACTTACCCTACAAGCAACTTTTGTATTTTTTTTTATCTATTGCACCAATACATATTATATACAATTTTTTATAGGATAAAAAGGGCTCTAATCAGATGTGGCATATACATATATCAATTCTTATTTATTATAAAAATAATGCAAAAAAAATAAATAAATACAATTTGTTTTCATAGTTTAGACAATAATAACGTGTATAATAAGTGCAGCTTAAGGAAAGTAATTCAAAATAAATTCAATTGTTCGGATTTTCCGAGTACATAATAAGTCTAGGATTTCAGCGTATTTTGAAAGTTACAGGTCACAAAATACAAGGAGTAAAATACAATTGTAACGTGGAGCCATTTTAGAACTTGGTATGTATGTCTTGTAAGCTTAATAGCCATCACAGAAAACAAAACTGCTGCACAAAAGTATATATGTATATAAAGCAGACATCACCGGTTATTTATCTAAGGTTATTATGACACTTTTTTCATTTCGCCGCCAATCTCTGCTAAATATAGTAGTAAAATTGTGGGGGGGGGTTTTAGATTTTTAACACACACATTAAACAAGGTTTTTTAATGTGTATTTCATAAACCTGATGTTACTATTGCTGTAGAAAACACCTTATTGTGTTCAGCCACATGTACTGAGTACATGATATCCCCAATCTATACCTTTGCCCCTATCCTGTGAAGCAGTGGCGTACACATGACCCATGGGTGCGTGCGCATACAGCCGACGGGGAGGAGAAGAGGAGGATCGGAGGAGGAGAGCTCTCCGCCCAGCGGTGGAAAAAGGTAAGTTTTACCCCTTTCCAGAGCCGGGCGGGAGGGGGTCCCTGAGGGTGGGGGCACCCTCAGGGCACTATAGTGCCAGAAAAAGTCTCATTTTGGGGCATTGTAGGAGTTTGTTGAAATTACACCACAAGGGCCTACCATTTGTGAAAGTAGACACTATAGTGTCTCATATTGTGCCTTAACGTGATGGTATTTTTTCAACACTTTGTGGTAAAATATATATATATATATATATATATTTATTTTTTACATACACGTTAAATTTTTTGCTGGTCATTTTTCAAGTCTGGTATGTGCCACTGTAATCAAACACCCATAATTATGCTTGCTTAAATTATATGTCTATACCTTTGACTTGTGATGCCAATTGTGTAACTGGACAATTTAGGCCTGAGGTGTTTTAGATTCTCGGACTTGACAAGAGTTGGGGTAGTCTGGTATTAGGTGATTTGTCGTTACTGGTCGGGTGGCGCTTGTGTGTGTCGGCAGGTGAGGCATAAGACCAGATTCTATCATGACTACTGGCTATGCCTATGATGTGGTTAATATGGGCTGATTGTGCTATTTCTAACTGCTGGTATTGTAGGGAGTCCTTGTGTCGGGACTCTCGTATTCAAGGGGGTCTCCTTCGTATAGGCGTATTGTCTTGGCTATAGTCTTTGATATATTGGTCCCATGGCGACCAAAGGCTAACAAACTCGTCATATGTGTTAGCCAGGGAATGTGAAAGCTCTTCCATCTGTCTGATGGAGTCTACTTTAGTTAGCCATTCCCTAATGGTCGGGGGGTTGCTTTGTTTCCATTTGGTGGGTATTAAGCAATTTGCTGCTGTGAGTAGCTGATTTATCAGGATCCGGGTTGATTTTGTTAGAGGGGTAGGGTAAAGCATAAATACAAGTGCTTCGGGCGTTATTGGTAGCTTATATCCTGTTATAAGATTAATTATGTTAAAGATTTTACCCCAGTAAGTTTGTATTATGTTGCATGCCCACCATACATGGCCAGGGATCCCTATTTCAATTTTGCATCTCCAGCAGACATTAGGGGAGAATTTGTGAATCCTGGTCGGGGCGAGGTGCCATCTGGAAATTCGCTAATAATTTCTCTCTTGTGTATTGGTGTTGCTAGAGGATTTAAAGATGTTTTTAAATATTTTGCCCCAATTAACATGGGTTAAGGTAATCTGAAAGTCTTTCTCCCAAGCTTTCGTAAATTCCGGGATATGTTAGCTTGTTTTTGATTGTAAGATTTTATAGAAAATGGTGATGTGTTTCTTTTGTAGGGTCCTAGTTGTGGATAAGGATTCAAATGTGGTCAGAGGCCTATGTCCCAGACAAAGGTCTGATTGCATCTGGAGGTAGTGTGAGAGTTGCGTATACCTGAATTTTTGCATGGTGAAGTGTGTGGGGGCGTGTACAAGTTCCGTAAGTGGCAGGATACCCTTCTCATTTATGACGTCACTTAGGTGTAATTGTCCGTATTGGGTCCCAAAGTCCCGGAAGGCGTATTGTTGTCGGCCAGGAGGGAATTGCGGGTTCCCTGTTATTGGGAAAAGCGGGGAGGGATGTGGAGCAATGTGTTTGCCATGTCTGAGGCGATTCCAGCATTTTAAGGTGGGTATTATGGTATGGTGATCTGTGTGGCCTGGGTAAAGAAAGTTTATGTTGGGCTTGGGCCATGGTATAGTTCTGGGGTCCACCATGAAGCTAGCTGCTTCTATCTGCACCCACTGCTTTTGGTCTTGAGGGTCTATCCAGTCGTATATACGAGAAAGGATTGTAGCATTATGGTACCCCTCGATGTCAGGAACGCTCAACCAGCTCAAATGGATTACATATGATACCTGGTGTCACGTATTCATCCACTTATAGAAATGTGGTTAATGACATTTACTGTCCACACAGGAAAAGTTGTGCCGAGCAGCAACCTAATCCACAGAAGGGTTAATGCTGAGCAGCAATTATGCAAATGAAGCCTGAATGTGAAAGCTCTTCCATCTGTCTGATGGAGTCTACTTTAGTTAGCCATTCCCTAATGGTCGGGGGGTTGCTTTGTTTCCATTTGGTGGGTATTAAGCAATTTGCTGCTGTGAGTAGCTGATTTATCAGGATCCGGGTTGATTTTGTTAGAGGGGTAGGGTAAAGCATAAATACAAGTGCTTCAGGCGTTATTGGTAGCTTATATCCTGTTATAAGATTAATTATGTTAAAGATTTTACCCCAGTAAGTTTGTATTATGTTGCATGCCCACCATACATGGCCAGGGGTCCCTATTTCAATTTTGCATCTCCAGCAGACATTAGGAGTACTAGGGGAGAATTTGTGAATCCTGGTCGGGGCGAGGTGCCATCTGGAAATTCGCTAATAATTTCTCTCTTGTGTATTGGTGTTGCTAGAGGATTTAAAGATGTTTTTAAATATTTTGCCCCAATTAACATGGGTTAAGGTAATCTGTAAGTCTTTCTCCCAAGCTTTCGTAAATTCCGGGATATGTTAGCTTGTTTTTGATTGTAAGATTTTATAGAAAATGGTGATGTGTTTCTTTTGTAGGGTCCTAGTTGTGGATAAGGATTCAAATGTGGTCAGAGGCCTATGTCCCAGACAAAGGTCTGATTGCATCTGGAGGTAGTGTGAGAGTTGCGTATACCTGAATTTTTGCATGGTGAAGTGTGTGGGGGCGTGTACAAGTTCCGTAAGTGGCAGGATACCCTTCTCATTTATCACGTCACTTAGGTGTAATTGTCCGTATTGGGTCCCAAAGTCCCGGAAGGCGTATTGTTGTCGGCCAGGAGGGAATTGCGGGTTCCCTGTTATTGGGAAAAGCGGGGAGGGATGTGGAGCAATGCGTTTGCCTTGTCTGAGGCGATTCCAGCATTTTAAGGTGGGTATTATGGTATGGTGATCTGTGTGGCCTGGGTAAAGAAAGTTTATGTTGGGCTTGGGCCATGGTATAGTTCTGGGGTCCACCATGAAGCTAGCTGCTTCTATCTGCACCCACTGCTTTTGGTCTTGAGGGTCTATCCAGTCGTATATACGAGAAAGGATTGTAGCATTATGGTACCCCTCGATGTCAGGAACGCTCAACCAGCTCAAATGGATTACATATGATACCTGGTGTCACGTATTCATCCACTTATAGAAATGTGGTTAATGACATTTACTGTCCACACAGGAAAAGTTGTGCCGAGCAGCAACCTAATCCACAGAAGGGTTAATGCTGAGCAGCAATTATGCAAATGAAACCTGGTAACTGACTTTGGGGTCAAAGGCCGGTTACAGCCTATCAGAAAGAAAGGAGGGGTATTTAGGCCCAGTTCTCAGCCTGCTCAGTGCCCTGTCGTGGTTTCCCTTGTGGTTGTCCGAGAGCGCGTTCCTGTTTATAGTTTTCTACCTGGTTTTTTACTTTGGCTTTGTTTATTGACTTCTCTATATTCTGGTATCCTGACTCCTGGCTTTCCTCATCGCTGTGTCCCTTTCTGTGTTCCCTGACCTCGGCTAGTATTTTTGACTATTCTTTGTACGTTAAATCCGGCCATTCTAAGGACCGGTAATACGTTACTTATTTGTCATCCGTGCTGTACAGTTCTACGTGCTGGATCAAACAGTAATCCTGACATTACGACATGGCCATAGATCCTGTAGAACTGTGTCAGCACATAGCTGCTTGCGAGAGGAAATTAGAGGAGAATGATCACCGCATGGATCAATTCACTCAGGCTTTAAGTACGCTTCTCGCTAGAACGGAGCATCTGCAGCGTCTCCTCCTATAGCACCTCTACCCTGTGTACCTCCACCCACTGTTAATATGACTCCTAGCATCTGCTTATCACCATCCCTACAGTTTGATGGCAATATCCAGGAATGCAGGGGTTTTCTTAATCAGGAGGGAAGTGGGCAATCCTTCTGAAACGGCACCCTCAGCATAAAAGGGTTAAACCGCCGTTTAGTAGATCTTCCCCTTCCAGAGATACAGGCACAGCTACTGCAGAACACCAAACTCCCGAACTGCATATAAGGGAATGCTCTAAACTCCCGAACTGCATACAATATAGCACTCCAAACTCCCGAACTGAAACCTCACAAATAGCTGCTAGCAGACGAATAGGAAAAACACCCAAGCGGCTTACACTCCTAGCAATCAGTCTCTATCAGCATACAGTAAATCCCCCCAAAGACGAGACAAGACTTGACGGTCAAGCAGTGGTCTGGTTTAATGAGGGCTACCTGCCCAGTATTTATGCAGGTCTCCCACCTGGTAGACACTCCCCTAGGGGACCAAATGGGAGACTGTGACAAAGGACAGACATGAACCAATGACAGGCACACAGAGGTAAAACATCCCCACAATGCAGAGCGTGGTCTTGGTTGTCCTCCATGGCCTCAACTCGTTCCTCCACCCGCTTGATTTCCCGCACCATGTTGTCTAGTTTTTTTTTTTGAATCGCTGTTTCTAGTTTGTGGATCATGGCTGCAAAGTGCTGTTTTGTAGGTAGATTTTTGATTAATTCCTTGATGTCAGCATCAAAGGTCGTCGATGCGCTGTCTGAGACGGCTGGGCTCAGGGGAGGCGAGGAGTGATCAGAGTGAGGTTCCTGCGCCATCTTTGGGCCTGGCTCTACACCAAGATGTGCCGCGTTGTCTTTAAAGAATTTGCTCAATTGCGCTGGATTTTGCTCCGGATTGCTTAGCGTGGGGATGGGAGAGTGCTATACTCTTTTTGGGGTGTCCCATGTTGATTGATGCGCCCGATGTTTGCGGATTGCCCTGAATTCCCTCCGGAGCTCTGCTTTCACACGATAGATGGATTGATGTGTCTATGTCTCATTTTAGAGCAATGTAGCAGTTTGACAGTTTAAATTACGCCATAAATGCATACCATTTGTGAAAGTAGACACAGCGGGCTATGTCATATGGTATATTTAGGGCTTTTTTAATACAGTTATTTTAGCACCTAAATAAAATAAACAAATTTTATCGTATTGTTTTATTTTTGCATTTTTGTACACACGTTGCATTTTAGTGGTTAATTTTGGAAACTTGATATGCTACTGTAATAAAAATCACTAAATTATTCTCAGCTATATTTCCGGAGTACAAAATTACACCCTTTGTATACCTAAGTCAGTTTTTTGTGAAAATAGAGGGCTAACATTATATCCAGCCCAGCACAGTTTTTTAAATAAATGGCAAATGGATGATGGGTCTTTGGTTAATTTTGGGGCATTTTAGTTGCACATATATTTAAATTACGCTACCGATGCATACCATTTGCAAAAGTGGACACCATGGGGACTCTCACATGAAATATTATAAGCTTTATTGAAGTGACATTTTGTTTCCATTTTGTTTCAAAGTTTGTGGTGAATTATTTTTACATACACATAGTATTTTTTATGCTTATTTTATTAAAAATGTGTCCCACTGTCATAAAATTATCTTAGCTGTACTTAGCAACATTTTCTGAGTACAAATATACCCCCATATGTATAATCTTTGGAAAGTAGCAATCTTAATCCCAATCTAAATCCCTAATCCTAAACCAAATCCTAATCCCAAATCTAGCCCTAAATCTGATCATAAACCTCACCACAATCCTAATCCATACCCTAATCCCATGTTTAACCCCAATTAAAACCTTAATCCTAAATCTCAATCCCAACTTTAGCAATGGTGTTAGAAGGATTCTCCCACTGGTGTCTGGTGTATTTGGTAAGGTATGCCCGTGCTGACCCTAATCCTAAATCTGAAACAATGGTCATTCTAAAGATACCATTATTTTCATCAAACCATATAGTTTACTATAAAAATTGTAAAAAATATGATGGAAGTTTTTAGTTTTTTTTAAAAACCACACTTTTTCTAACTTTGACCCTCAAAATCTGTTACGCATCTACAACCGCCAAAAAACACCTGTGCTAAATAGTTTCTAAATTTTGTCCTGAGTTTAGAAATACTCAATGTTAACATGTTCTTAGCTTTTTTTTTTTTTTTTGCAAGTTAAAGGGCTATAAGTACAAGTAGGACACTGCCGTTTCAAAATATATACTTTTAAAATTTATCAATAGTGACATTGTAACACTGTTACCGGTCATAAATCTCTGAATCACACCTCACATGTACATATTTTTTTTAATTAGACAAACCCAGGGTATTCAATATGCGGTATGTCCAGTCTTTTTTTAGTATCCACTTACTCCCAAACACTGGCCAAAGTTAGCTTGATTTTCCCCTGCAAAGACACGAAAGCTGGGTCATTCAGTACTTGCCCTATTTGAACAGTGATACCCCAGATAGCTATGCCATGGAGCCCATTCGTATAATGAAAAACTATGGGAAAGACTTTTACTCCATGGCAATTGAACTGTATGTATGTGATCTGAGCGCCATTCAGTAATAATGTGCGCTCAGATGTAAGCTATCTGGGGATTTGTTGAATGTACCTGTTTAAAGGACCACTCTAGGCACCCAGACCACTTCAGCTAAATGAAGTGGTCTGGGTGCCTGGTCCAGCTAGGGTTAACCAATTTTTTTTATAAACGTAGCAGTTTCAGAGAAACTGCTATGTTTATATTAGGGTTAATCCAGCCTCTAGTGGCTGTCTCATTGACAGCAGCTAGAGGCGTTTGCGTACTTCTCACTGTGAAAATTACAGTGAGAAGACGCAAGCGTCCATAGGAAAGCATTATGAATGCTTTCCTATGAGACTGGCTGAATGAGCGCGCAGCTCCTGCAGCGCATGCGCATTCAGCCGAAGAGGAGGAGAAGAGGTGGAGAGGAGAGCTCCCCGCCCGGCGCTGGAGAAAGGTAAGATTTTAACCCCTTCCTCTCCTCAGAGCCCGCTGGGAGGGGGTCCCTGAGGGTGGGGGCACCCTCAGGGCACTATAGTGGTCCTTTAATGCAATAGCTGCACAGTTAAATATTTTTATGTATTTTATTGTCTTTTGCTACCATGTGTTCAATGGAGTTTTTCCTCTGTCCTTGGAGATAAATGGATTACTTCACAATTATCTCCAGGATAGAAGACTCTGTGGAACTGGTTTTGGGCAGAAAAGCCATGCTTCATTTGCTCACAAAGGACTTCCATCTATCTATCTAACCAACCACTGGACCAATTTGGATGATTTTGACATATGTTTGTATTTGGAGTATGCGGATTATGAAAATGTGAATGTGATGTATACTTTTAAAGTTAAGAATAATGTGGAAAAACTGTATTTCTCTGCCTGTGACAATTACATTAACCCATTGTGTAAGGAAATTGTATCACAGGCAGAGGGGAGGATTTTGTGTGGGAGTGTCTGAGTGTATTGTACGTGTTTATTGGTTGTTTTACAAAACCCCGTGGGTGGTACTAATGTGTAAGAATGTGTATATAAGAACCATAAACCCACAGCACTGTCTGATCACTGCTTGACCCTCAACACGGAGCTTTGTCTCGTTCTTGGGGGGATTTATTGCATGCTGTTCCAATTAGACTGATGGGAGTGTAAACCTTTCGTATGGTTTTTCCTATTCGGCCGTTTACAGCATTCGTATGGTTCCGGTTTGGCTGTTTACTGCATTCATATGGTTTCCTGTTCGGGTGATTGGTGTCTTCAGTAGCTGCCTGTATATCTGGAAGGGAATATCTCCTAAACGGCTGTTAACCCCTTTTATGCCTGGGGGTGCCGTTACAAGTGGCTAGTAAAAAAGACTGAACATACCCCATTTGCAAGGCTTTGGGTTGTCTACTTTTGCAAATGGTATGTCATCATGGGGGTAATTCTCATTTCTTGGCTACCATATGCTCTCAAAGGCAACATAACCAATCTGGCAAATTTCAATTTGAAAAAAATGAAAATCAAGCCTTATATTTGACCCTGTAACTTTCAAAAACACTATAATACCTGTAAATGGGGGGGAGGTGTGGAGTACGGTTATACTCTGGTGACTTCGTTGAACACAAATATTAGTGTTTTTTAAAACCGTAAAACACATCACAACAATGGATATCATCAGTGAAAGTGATGTCTGTGTGTAAAAATGCAAAAAACATCATTTTCACTGACAATATCACTGCTATGATATATTTTACGGTTTTGAAACACTAATATTTGTGTTCAGCAAAGTCTCCAGAGTAAAACAATACCCCCTATGTACAGGTTTTCGAGTGTCATGGAAAGTTACAGGGTTAAATACAGTGCTAGCAAATTAAATTCTCTGGACTTTCGGCCTGGGTTGTCAGGCAGGTCCCTCCATTTGCAATCAAAATTACTTATGTAAAAATATTACATAAATATGCACGTAGAATTTAAATATATATATACATATTTATATATTTAAAGTCTATGTGTATATTTATTACATAGTTACATAGCTGAAAAGAGACTTGCGTCCATCAAGTTCAGCCTACCTCACATTTGTTTTTTGCTGTTGATCCAAAAGAAGGCAAAAAAAACCAGTTTATGAAATTATTTTTATTTATATATACATAGATTTTATATATATATATATTTTTTTTTAATATTTAGTTTTTATTAACCCCTTAAGGACAGAGCTTGTCTTTCACTTAAGGACAACAGCATTTTTTAAAAAATTTTGCGGTTTGCGTTCAACTGCAATTTGCATTTTAATCATTTATTGCACCGACAGAAAGGGCTTTAATTTGATGTAACACACACACACACACATATATATATATATATATATATATATATATATATATATATATATATATATATATATATATATATATATATATATATATATATATATATATATATATTATTTTTATTTTTTTTTATTATTATTATAAAAAAAATACAGAAAAATGCAAAACAAATGAAAAGTTTTTTGTTTTGTTTTTTACAGTTTTTGCAAGAATAATGTGTGCATAATTAGTGCAGGTTAAGGAAAGTAATTAAAAAATTCATTTAGTTCTGATTTACAGAATATATATGTCTGGGATTTTAAGGTTTTTTTGGTAGTTACAGGTCACAAAGCACAAGGAGTAAAATAAAATTTTAATGTGGAGCGATTTTAGAATTTGGTATGTTTGTCTTGTAAGCTTAAAGGACCACTATAGGCACCCAGACCACTTCAGCTTAATGAGGTGGTCTGGGTGCCTGGTCCATCTAGGGTTAACCCTTTTTTCTATAAACATACTGCTATGTTTATATTAGGGTTAATCCAGCCTCCAGTGGCTGTCTCTTGATTTTCACAGTGAGAAGATTGTGAATGCTTTCCTATGGACTGGCTGAATGCGTGCGCGGCTCCTGCGCATTCAGCAGAAGAGGAGGAGAGGAGGCGGAGAGGCGGCGGAGAGCTCCCCTCCCGGCGCTGGAGAAAGTTAAATTTAACCCCCTTCTCACCCTAGAGCCCAGCAGGAAGTGGTCCCTGAGGGTGGGGGCACCCTCAGGGCACTATAGTGCCAGGAAAACGAGTATGTTTTCCTGGCACTATAGTGGTCCTTTAATAGCCATAAAAGAAAACAAAATTGCCACACAAAAGTATATATTTATATAAAGTAGACATCACAGGCTATTTACCTAGAGTTGTTTTGACACTTTCTACATAGCCATTTCACCGCCAACCTCTGCTAAATATTGGCGTAAAATTGTGGGGTTTTTATTTTTGGCGCACAAACTTATAACAAAGAAATTCTCATATGTATTTTGTAAAGTTGGTGTGTGCTATTCCTGTACAAAGTTTTATTTTGTGTTCAGTTACATCTGCTGAGTAAAATGACACCCCCATTGTATGTCTTTGGCACTATTTCGTGAAGCTACAGTGCCATATAGGAGACCAAGCCATATCAGTTTTTACCAAACTTTGAATTTTGACGCTGGGCCTATGTGCAATTTCCAAGCATCTTAGCAGGGTTTAAATTCAAACTACCCCACAAAGGCCTACCATTTCTTAAAGTAGACACCCCAGGGTATTTCAAAACGTATATTTTGAACCTTAGCGTGAGATAATTTTTCCGCTAGCTTGTACCGAATGTAGCCTTTTTGACACACAAAGTGAGTTTGCACAGTATATTTTGCAAACCTTATGTGTGCTACCAGTGTATAATACTTCATATGTTGTTCAGCTATGTCAGCTGAGTACAGCAATACCCCAGTATGTACCATTGCCAGGTATATGTGGATGTTGAAGGGCACATTTGAGACGCAGCTATTCAGTTGTAGAGTAGTTTAGATGGTTGGTTATTGAAACTTCCACACAAACACATACTATTTATTAAAGAATATTTTGAACCTTAGCGTGGGATCATTTTTTCTCTAGTTTGTTCCAGGTGCAGTGGTAATGAGCGTTTTTAAATGTATTTTTTTACTTTTTGAAACTTTTTACTTTTAAAAACTAGTTTTGAAACTTTTGTTTTGCTTATTAATTTTTTTTAAACTTTCTTAAAACTTTTTTTTTTTTTACAGAGTTAACATTTTTCTAAGCTTTTTTTTTTTACCGTTAACCCCTAACTAGCAGTAAGCAGCACTAACAGTAAATTCCCAATTTTCCCATAACTCCCACCCACCCCAGCTAGCAAAATATATAATAAAATATTTAAATTAAATAAATTTAACCACTGAGGGTTAAAAAATAAATAAAAGTTAATCCTCAGGGGTTAAAAAAAATTAGATCACAGTATAATTTTGATCACTGTAGTCAGTGATCAATTAGCAGGGAAGGGGTTAATTTATTAAAATGGGTAAAAGGGGGGTGGGATTTTAAATAAAATTTTTTTTTTTTTTTACATATCACTGTTCTGGCTCCCTGCACTTCACACAGAACCAGGAAGTGCAGGGAGGCGGAAGGTAAGTATACTGAGCACATGTGCTCGCTCTGACAGCCTGATCGGGTGTTCCCAGTCTGCCTCTAATACAGAGGCAGACTGGAGCACCATTATCCCCGCGATCGCCGGAATAGCGGCGATCCGGGGTTAATTTTAACGGGTGACGGATGAGGTCCTTGTCTGTCACTCGTCGTTATGGGGTTAAAGGAACAAATCCCCTGCAATCATACTTTAACTCCTTCAGTGCCGAGTGCAATAGCCTGAGCTACAATAATACAAATCCAGCATAGAATGGCTGCTCATTGGTCTTAAAATATAAATGCTTTATTAAATAAAATGAAAAACGACCAAAGTTTCAGTCCCCAGTCCTGTTTCAGTTGTCCTGTTATTGACCTGAAGAAAGTCCCGATCGGGGGCTGAAACGTTGGTCTTTTTCATTTTATTTAATAAAGCATTTATATTTTAAGACCGGTGAGCAGCCATTCTATGCTGGATATAGATAGACAGATAGATAGATAGCGTTGCAAGAAAACGTATGTGAACCCTTTGGAATGATATGGATTTCTGCACAAATTGGTCATAAAATGTGATGTGATCTGATCATCATCTAAGTCACACCAATAGACAATCACAGTCTGCTTAAACTAATAACACACAAAGAATGAAATGTTGCCATGTTTTTATTGAACACACCATGTAAACATTCACAGTGCAGGTGGAAAAAGTATGTGAACCCCTAGACTAATGACATCTCCAAGAGCTAATTGGAGTGAGATGTCAGCCAACTGGAGTCCAATCAATGAGATGAGATTGGAGGTGTTGGTTACAGCTGCCCTGCCCTATAAAAAACACACACCAGTTCTGGGTTTGCTTTTCACAAGAAGCATTGCCTGATGTGAATGATGCCTCGCACAAAAGAGCTCTCAGAAGACCTACGATTAAGAATTGTTGACTTGCATAAAGCTGGAAAGGGTTATAAAAGTATCTCCAAAAGCCTTGCTGTTCATCAGTCCACGGTAAGACAAATTGTCTATAAATGGAGAAAGTTCAGCACTGCTGCTACTCTCCCTAGGAGTGGCCGTCCTGTAAAGATGACTGCAAGAGCACAGCGCAGACTGCTCAATGAGGTGAAGAAGAATCCTAGAGTGTCAGCTAAAGACTTACAAAAATCACTGGCAAATGCTAACATCCCTGTTAGCGAATCTACAATACGTAAAACAGTAAACAAGAATGGATTTCATGGGAGGATACCACAGAGGAAGCCATTGCTGTCTAAACAAAACATTGCTGCACGTTTACAGTTTGCACAAGAGCACCTGGATGTTCCACAGCAGTACTGGCAAAATATTCTGTGGACAGATGAAACCAAAGTTGAGTTGTTTGGAAGAAACACACAACACTATGTGTGGTGAAAAAAAGGCACAGCACACCAACATCAAAACCTCATCCCAACTGTGAAGTATGGTGGTGGGGGCATCATGGTTTGGGGCTGCTTTGCTGTGTCAGGGCCTGGACGGATTGCTATCATCGAAGGAAAAATGAATTCCCAAGTTTATCAAGACATTTTGCAGGAGAACTTAAGGCCATCTGTCTACCAGCTGAAGCTCAACAGAAGATGGGTGTTGCAACAGGACAATGACCCAAAGCATAGAAGTAAATCAACAACAGAATGGCTTAAACAGAAGAAAATACGCCTTCTGAAGTGGCCCAGTCAGAGTCCTGACCTCAACCAGATTGAGATGCTGTGGCATGACATCAACAAAGCGATTCACACCAGACATCCCAAGAATATTGCTGAACTGAAACAGTTCTGTAAAGAGGAATGGTCAAGAATTACGTCTGATCTGCAACTACTGGAAACGTTTGGTTGAAGTTATTGCTGCCAAAGGAGGTTCAACCAGTTATTAAATCCAAGGGTTCACATACTTTTTCCACCTGCACTGTGTTTGTTTACATGGTGTGTTCAATAAAAACATGGCAACATTTCATTCTTGTGTTTTATTAGTTTAAGCAGACTGTGATTGTCTATTGTTGTGACTTAGATGATGATTAGAACACATTTTATGACCAATTTGTGCAGAAATCCATATCATTCCAAAGGGTTCACATACTTTTTCTTGCAACTGTGTGTGTGTGTTTATACACACACACACACAGTTAAATGAAGAGTACTCCAGAGGGTTTTTCAAAAAGAATTTGTGTTGCGCAAAGCGATCAACGTTTCGACCCGAAAAGGTCTTAGATAGAGATATATATAGAGATATATATAGAGATATATATATATATATATATATATATATATATATATATATATATATATATATATATATATATATATATATATATATATATATCTTGGCCTGAAGTTGTGGGAGGAGCTTATGGACCTTTAAAAAGCACTGCCCCCTTCCCTACCCTACCGCGATTGGTCTGACAAGCTGCAGGGTGATGAGACGGTCTGGTTCAGTACAGATCCATCTACTTCCAGTTACATAGTTACATAGTTACATAGCTGAAAAGAGACTTGTGTCCATCAAGTTCAGCCTACCTCACATTTGTTTTTTTGCTTTTGATCCAAAAGAAGGCAAAAAAACCCCAGTTTGAAGCACAATTTTGCAACAAACTAGGAAAAAAATTCCTTCTTGACCCCAGAATGGCAGTCAGATTTATCCTTGGATCAAGCAGTTATTACCCTACATTGAAGATTATATCCTTGAATATTCTGTTCTTGCAAGTATGCATCTAGTAGCCGTTTGAACATCTGTATGGACTCTGATAAAACCACTTCCTCAGGCAGAGAATTCCACATCCTGATTGTTCTTACAGTAAAAAAAACCTTTCCTTTGCCTTAGACGAAATCTTCTTTCTTCCAGTCTAAACTCATGGCCTCGTGTTTTATGTAAAGTCCGGTTTGTGAATAGATTTCCACACAATGGTTTGTATTGGCCACGAATATATTTGTATAGTTCAAAAGGTCATCAACACAAACTGCCATAAGTCCAAACAAGCTGGTCTTGGCCTAGTGTGGCCCACGCAAGTATTTGCTTTACCTCACTCTAATAAACAGCCGCCTCACTAGAAGCTCATGGGGCACTGCCTACATCCAGCCCAGCCACGGCTTCTGTAACTGTTGTTTTCCAACAAAACCGTAAGTTAGTCTGTTCAGCCATTCGGATAAGGCATATTTTACTAGTAACACAAATTCAGCCTATTTCGTACATAGCATGCCTCATGCTGCTTACTCTATTTGGCAGAGAAGCCTCGTTCTGCTTACTGTATTTGGCCTTCACTAGGCCATATATTGACTTTTATCATATGCACTTTAGTCACCCTGCAAGTTAAAGTTTCACTCTACATCTTAATGTTTTCTTTGTCTGTCCTGGGTATTCATACACTTTCTGAGCCTTCATTGTTTAGTAATTACGTGGCTAGGTGTAGCAACTGTCTAAATTTAGGTCAGGCCCAAACTTGGGCCTATACACATGGTAAAGGAAATAAAAAATATAAACTTTTATATACATTCACTGTACACATAAATGTAAAATTCTTTATTTTCTGTAAAGGGTAATATCTTCCAAATGTCTTAAAGCAGCACTGTCATGGCCGAATCTGTTTTTTTTTTTTTAATCCCCTTATATTACCTAGTTATTAAAAGGACCACTATAGTGCCAGGAAAACATACTTTTCCTGGCACTATAGTGCCCTGAGGGTGCCCCCTGACCCTCCGCCGCTCTGGAAAGGGGAAAAAGGGGTTAAACTTACCTTTTCCAGCGCTGGAGAGCTCTCTGCTCTCCTCCTCCTCCGAAGTCGGCTGAATGCGCGCAGAGCTGCCGATTCAGCGTTACATAGGAAAGCATTCTCAATGCTTTCCTATGGACGCTGGCATGCTCTCACTGTGAAAATCACAGTGAGAAGCACGCAAGCGCCTCTAGTGGCTGTCAATGAGACAGCCACTAGAGGGAATGGGGGAAGGCTTAACCCATTGATAAAACATAGCAGTTTCTCTCAAACTGCTATGTTTATGAAAAAATGGGTTAACCCTAGAAGGACCTGGCACCCAGACCACTTCATTAAGCTGAAGTGGTCTGGGTGCCTAGAGTGGTCCTTTAAACTTTATTTTCTGCCCGGCCAAAGGTTCTGTAATGGGCAACCTGCCACAGGTTAATTCGGCACCTCGTTTAGGCATTTCATTGAAAACATTTATAGATTTTGGATTAAGAATATGTCTTGTTTTAGGTTCTGGGTAGTACATTTATAGGCACCTACCATACGGATATCATTATTTTACAGTTATGTAGCGGTAAAATTTCCTCAATCTGATCATAATACCACAAACCGGTATTCCCTTCGATGTGACATATTAGATGAGTTACGATAGACGATAAGCCTTAAGCCACACTGTCTATGTTTTCATATGCATTTCTGCACAGTATACGGTTTTGCTTACAAACATATTTGTGTCATGTCTAATCATATTTTGAGATTTCCCAAAATATGATTGCATGGTTTACCACTACAGTTCCCGTCTGCAGATATTTGGTCCTGTGGCTTTCTGGGACGCCATTGGGCCTGTACATGGGGGTACGGTGGTATACACGATGTCTTGCTAACATCCATTTCCTTATGTCTTATCAAATCATATTCTTTTACAGGTTATCAATTCGGAGCATCATTTGCTTGTCAGACCTCGCACCCATTTGTCAGTTAAAGTTCTTTTCATAGGTTATAGACCTCTCCTTCCCCTCTCTGCATCCTTTAGGGGATACTGTCAATTTCAGTTACAGGTTACAACCATACCATACAAAACTACATGAATTCTTATACAAATTCAGGTACGTTTTTAGCCACGATGGCTCCCCCGAAATATAGACCTTTTTAAAGAGTAGGTTTTACTGGCTCATAGGGATCTAGGTGACCAAGTGACCAATAGATGTTAAGTTTCTGGCATCTCTGCCTTGGAGTTAGTGGTCCCACAAGGCCAACACCCATCCTCCACGCATGAGGTATTACGCCCCCTGGGCCAAAAATATAGTTAAGCACAGTGGCATAGAGAGGGCCTCACTTGTAACACCAAATCTATCTCATGATTTAAAATGTCATCAAGAGGCCAACACCCCGCCACAACGTTCGGTGGCCATGAATCCCCTCACACCAAAAAAAAAAAATAGAGCCTCTCAAGCCACTTGGCAGCTAGCAGGGCCACCTGTCACCAACCTAGTGAATTGCTTTGCCACTTGGCACTAGCTAGCCAGCCAGTAAAACGATCCTGATCCAAGCTACTTAATATATTGCAGTATGTCTCAGATCCCTGTAAGAAGGTGATGACATGTCAATCCCCAGTACTCCAGTTTGGTCCACTAAACCTACAGGAAAAGGTGACACCTATCAGATTCCATCAGGTCATGGACCATTCCTCGTATTACGGCTGAGCTACGCAGACGCAACGTTCCTTTTCCAGCAACGGCCGGGAAAGCAGAACTGTTCAGGCTCATGAGTACCAACATGGACAATGCTGATGCTGGAGTAGGCACAAGTTGCTCGAGCAACACCAACCTCCATACAACATTCTCAGCACTCGTGTCCGCTAAGGGGTAAATAAATGAGAGACTGGAAAGACTAAAAATACATTGTTGAACCATGTCATCAACCGGACACTGACCCTCGCAGGGTCCTCCGTGCGCATACGACAAAACGCAATTCAATATTGAGAATGTTCACCTGTAGGTTCATATATCCAACGGGATATTGACTTTCTGTCTAAAAGTTTTTACACTAATAGGTGAGTTAGGACATAGGTGTGGCATCGCAACTTATCTATCAGACATATTGTGAAATTTTACTAAAACATGTCATCTTTAAGTTGAGCCGGCCCTACCTCGTACTCACAGAAGTAGCCATAACGGGCCTGCCGCAGCTGATTTAATCTGTTTCTACTAACTGTATGTTTGTTCTTTCAGGGAGAATTTTACTACTATCATATTCAGCATTTCATTAATACGTAGCTTCAAAGCGATGCCTTCTTCAGCTTCCGGTATTAGGCCCCTTACTGGAACATATCGACTTCTATTATATGTCTTAGCTACCTACATGGCGCTATTGACTGGATCAATCATGTCAAGCCCAATTTGGGCCTACATATATGGTTCACAAATATAAACTAACTTGTATATATAGTCACTGTACTTGCATTAACTACGACCCTCATGGGACTCATCAGCTAACAAAGGTTTACTTTGGTTTAGTTATACTAATTACTGGTTGTTGGTTGGCTTCTCATACACTTGTTAGCTTGAATTGTCCACAGTTATGGTCCTTGTAGATACTTATTCTTGTTGATACTGATACTAGTTACCAATGCTAATTTGTTTTTTTCTTCATTATTGATACTTTTCCGGTTCTTAACCCATTCTAGTCTATTATTTCCCCTATATAAGTTGGTTTGTCAACTTGGCCCTCGCTATATTAATCACTTATCTACGTTCATCAGTCTATCCCATTATTTTCAGGCAACAGGGGCTTATACATCTGACAGGTTCACGATTCACTTACTTTCCAGAGTTTCTGCATTATTAGAGTTTTGCTACGTGCCTTAATGCTATTAATTTATGGGTGACGTCATATGCTGGTATTTTCATATGCATGCCACCTGGTTTAGTCTAAGTCGCTCGTGTTACCCCCTCAATTGTTTGCAAGGTATATATTGGTTGTCACTTACAGGTTTACAACCATTTCATTAGCCCTCGTAGGGCTCACGTGTCTGGCAGGTTCCGCTATTTCAATGTACACGGTATTACTCCTCTAGGTTCTAAGGTATTTCAAGTTGTGCCCTTAATGGTCTTCTAGCAATTGCGGTCATCAAGTCTTTCCATTACTATTCATGTCAGGTAAGTGGTCCTTCATTACATAAAGTTGGTTATGTCTCTGGTTGTGTTCGCTGCTTTTTTTGCCAACATCAATTTAGGCTCACTATACCATCAAGTTACGCCTGACTGGTATCCAACATCATATGTTTCTCTACTTTCCAACAACGCCAGTTTCCTTTCATCCTATCCAATCAGACTATACTTAAGAGTATCCAAAATATGTCTGATTTTCTAGAATCAGCCCCTTTCGAACCCCTCACTAACGCTGTCATTAAAACCGCTATATATCTGGCCTTTTACGGCTTCCTGAGGCCACTAGAATTCACCATCAGTGGCCAACACAACGCACAAGGTTGTTTTTGAAGCTCCTACCTAATTAAACATCAAGATCATTATATACTGACTCTACCCGTGAACAAAACGAGTAAACTGGGTCAACCCGTCCACATTCCATACTATCCCACGAATAATATATAGTGCCGGTGAAGGTTTTTGATTCCTACCTCCTCACTGTACCAAATATCGCATCTCTTCCGCTACTGTCACTTCACGGGTTATCTTCACTACCTCTAAGTTCATGTTATACGTACGGTTATTGTTAACAAGGCTTGGTATGAACCTTAGCCTTTATTCAGGACACTGGTTTAGGATAGGGGCCGCATCTACGGCATCAAGCCCGGACGTTCCAGTGCATGTCATTAAAACTCTAGGTCGCTGGAAGTCATCAGCATATACAATATACATAACCCAACCAGGACAGAAAATATGAAGGGCATTCGTTAAAATGTATTATGTTCTTTACTCAAATGTATTTTGAGCATGATATGGATTCCTTTTCCCCACTTTATTTACTGGCCTACAGCATACGTCGGTTCCGGCACACCTCAACCAACTTTTTCCTATCACAGGTTTGCTAACAATCTTACTTCATATCATAATCAATGTTGCCCCGAACACAAATTGGAAGGTTTGGCCTAAAGTTGTGGGAGGGGCTTATGGACCTTTAAAAAGGGCCTGGTCCGTAGCCCGTTTCCTTTTAGATCAGGTGGATGGCTAGCTGCGTTGTTTACCAGGGAAAGAGATGGCACTATCAGAAGAAAGTAGGTCGGCAGAGGCAGTGTTCTGCCGGGAAACCTCGGGTCCTAGGATTCTTGTAGATGTTACTTTAACACATACCACCTACCTATAGATTGTTGCAGACCATGTACACCCCTTCATGGAATAGTGTTTTCTGATGGCAGTGGCCTCTTTCAGCAGGATAACGCACCATGAAACACTGCAAAAAAGTATTCAGGAATGATTTAAGGAACATGACAGAGAGGTCAACATGTTGCCTTTGCTTCCAAATTACCCAGATCTCAATCCGACTGAGCATCTGTGGAATGTGCTGGAACAACAAATCCAATCCATGAAAGCCCTACCTCGAAACTTGCAGTAATTAAAGGATCTGCTGCTAATGGGTTAGTGCCAGATACCACAGGGCACGTTCAGAGGTCTTGTGGAGTCCACTCCTTGACTCAGAGCTGTTTTGGTAGCATGATGGGGACTTACACAAAATTAGGCAGGTGGTTTTACTGTTGTGGCTAATCAGTGTGTGTAATATAAATTGCATATACTTTAAATTAAAAAAAAAATTTTTATTTAAAAATATATTAACTAAATTAAACTAAAAAAAGTGAAAGTAATGACAGTTGTTTAGCAATGCTCCATTTCAGTCAACAACGCACATTTTGCCCATCATGGACAGATTACAAAATGGAGGTGCCTGTGCTATTGACATCCAGGCACAAGGAAGAAAATATAATATGAACAAAGGCGAGTGGATTATAATCATTAAAGAAAAATCCCAAGCACCATAACCACAAAGATCAAACCACAGATATAATGGTCCCAAATGCATGGCAACTATAAAACATTTTTTTGTGTGTGAAAATTAAAGAGTCATGCTGAGAAACAACACAACTACGACAATTGGTCTGATTAACAGGTGTTTTGTTTCTCTTTTTGCTAAATAAATGTTTTCCAGAATTCAACATCATAAGCCTTTCTTCTTTACCACGCCTACCTAATTCGAGAAAATGACCTTACATATAGCTCAGCCACTGACTGCACTGGTTGAGTTAAACTAGTGAAGTCAAGGAGTCTGTGTTAAACAGAAACAAATCAAATTAAGACATCCACAGGGATATTCACCAACTCTAAAACAAAACAAATATTCACTCTGAAATGTAAAAAATTAAAACACGAATTACCAACCCAAGGCTAAGAAAGATTTAAAAAAATAAAATAAAAAAAAATTTAATTATCCAACTCTGCTGTAGTCACAGTTTGGCTATTTTAAACGCAGTTTTCCCAATTCACATTTAGGTTTTCTATTTATTTGTTTAGTGAATAACCCTGCTAGCAACCATTTCACTACAAATGTCTCTTGCTGCTGCTAGGAGAGTTTGCTTTTGAATAAACACTATAGGGTCAGCAACACAAATATGTATTTCAGACCCTATAGTGTTAAAACCACTACCCCCCTCCCTCCCTTACCCTCCTAAATATAATAAAATCTAATTTGTTAAAGTCTACAGCTACCTGATCTGCCTGCTTGGCTGATATCAGAAGTGTTCTTCTGAGCCAATCACAATGCTTTCTCATAGGCTTGGCTGAGACTGTCAAGCAGGCAGATTAGGGGCAGAGTCAGCACAAGTCAAACACAGCCCTGGCCAATCAGCATCTCCTCATAGCAGAACGGTGAATCAATGCATCTCTAAGTTCAGTGTCTCCATGCAGAGGGAGTGGCTAGTGGAGTTATCCGTAGGCTGTAATGTAAACACTGCATTTTCTCTGAAAAGTGTGTTTGCTGCAAAAAGTCTGAAGAGAATGATTATACTCACCCAAATAAATTCAGTAAACTGTAGTTCTGGTGACTATAGTGTCCCTTTAAAAAGGTATAGGAAATGTCTATTGTTGTGCCTCTTTAACAAAACAATCCAGCCTTCTGTAGTTATTATAGTGCTAGGAGGGTCCTAGTTTGCTCTCATTGCATTTTGTCAAACCTTTATAAAATGTTTCCTCTCTTTCTCCCATGCCACAAACAGTTTCTCCTGCAAGAAAAGCCAGATGTCTTTACCCATGTAAGTAGCTCCTTTACAGGACAGCACTTATTGTGCTTAGCTTACACTCCCAGCAAAGGAGAGTAGAGGTAACTGGATTCTCCTGCAAAAAGAAATTAAAGAGTCACAGTCATGCTGAACTTACCTTTCTTTAATCGATTCCTCTTCTCTCCCTCTGTCAGGATCTGTTCTTCATTTCTTCCTGTCTGGGGGGAGGAAGGTTAACATTTTCATATAGGGGCCCCACCCACCGCTCATTGGGTGGGGGCTAGGGGGACAATAGGTGTCCCCCCCCCATTTTTATTTAGGGCCCCCACACACTGCTCAGGGGGGGGGGAGACAACAGGTCCACCCCCTTATTGTTATTTAGGACCCCCACCAGCCGCTCAGGGGTGGGGGCAATAGATGCCTCATTCAGTTTAATAGCCCCCCACTCGCGCAGCACGGATGTGGGCTCGGGAGGGGGGGGACACTAAGGTGTTTTTTTTGTTTGTTACTTTGTGTTTTGTTTTTGTTTTTTAAAGTGAGCAGCCAATGAATACTAGAGCAGACAGGAAGAAATGAAGAACAGATCCTGACAGAGGGAGAGAAGATGAATCTATTAAAGAAAGGTAAGTTCGGCATGACAGTGCCGCTTTAATACTGATGAAGAGCAACTACTATCTCAAATTAATAAGGCTACACAACTGGGTAATTTGTTAATAATTGGAAATTTTAATTATCCAGACATTAACTGGGCCAGATGGACTAGTTGTACAGTTAAATTTTTAAAAAGTACCATGTAGAATTGATGCTTGTCTGGATCCTGTGATGACTAATAAAATTGTATCATATGAGATCAACCCACCACCCAAAAAAAAAATAAAAAATTAATATGTATATAGGTTTGACAAAAATGCACAGTTGTAAAAGGATATGGCCATCTTTACAGCTAATTGCTTGGTAGGAAATATTCACTAGCAAAAGCAGAGGATAAATGGAAGGTCTTTAACCCCTTAACATTACTGTAACTAAACCACCATTATTTTTTGCCAAGTAATGAGTTTTTAAATAATATGATTACATTCTGTTAACTTTGAATGAAATAGCTGTTTAGTGAGTGAATGAGTGCACTTGATTTTATATGATTTGACCCCAACGGCACCCTTGTAAGTATGCATATTGAGGTGAGTGCAGCCCTCTCTGTAATTAATTAATTTATATATATATATATATATATATATATATATATATACATACACACACACACACACACACTTCAATACATTGTTAAACACATATATACCAGTTAAGCCATAAGACTTGCTTTTCCCACAAAAATCTCAAGTTTGCAGTGATGTTACTACTGCAAGGTATTCTGGGTAAGCAGATGCAAATTAGCTCAACAAAAAATCATCTTTTTGCCTCATTATTCCTTGGAGTTTGTTTGCTGTACAGTATACAACAGCTTTGAAACAACTCAGGAAGAGATGCAAGCCAGTGAACCACTCATGACCATCTGTCTCATTGACAGCCGCTAGAGGCGCTTCCGCGCTTCTCACTGTGATTTTCACAGAGAGAAGACACCAGTGCCCATAGGAAAGCATTGAGAATGCTTTCCTATGGACTGGCTGAATGCGCGCGCGGCTCATGCCGCGCATGCGCATTCAGCCGATGACAGGGAAAGAAGGCGGTGTTTGTGACCAAGTGGCTACTAAAAAAGACTGGACATACCCCATTTGCAATACATTGGGTTGTCTACTTTTGCAAATGGTATGCCATCATGGGAGTAATTCTCATTCCTGGGCTACCATACGCTCTCAAAGCAACGTAACCAATCTGGCAAATTTCAATGTGAAAAAAATTAAACACAAGCCTTATATTTGACTAACTTTTGAAAACACCATAAAGCATGTACATGAGGGGTACTGTTATACTCTGGAGACTTTGCTGAACATAAATATTAGTGTTTGAAAACCGTAAAACGAATCACAAGAATTAGTCAGTGTAAGTGCCGTTTGTGTGTGAAAAATGCAAAAAACGTCACTTTAACCGATATCATCGCTGAAAAACATTTTACTGTTTTGAAACACTAATATTTGTGTTCAGCGAAGTCTCCAGAGTAAAACAGTACCCCCCCATGTACAGGTTTTATGGTGTCTTGGAAAGTTACAGGGTTAAATATAGTGCTAGCAATTTAAAATTCTCTGGACTTTCAGACAGGTCCCGCAAATTGTAATTAATAAAATGACTTAATTATGTAAAAATATTACATAAATATATATATATATATATATATATATATATATATGTTACATAGCTGAAAAGAGACTTGCGTCTATCAAGTTCAGCCTTCCTCACATATGTTTTTGCTGTTGATCCAAAAGAAGGCAAAAAACCCAGTCTGAAGCGCTTCCAATTTTTCAACAAACTAGGAAAAAATTCCTTCTTGACCCCAAAATAGCAGTCAGATGTCTCCTTGGATCAAGCAGCTATTACAGTTTTCTCAGTATGTACCATTGGTTAATAAATATAAAAGAAAAATTAAAACCAATGTGGCTTAGTAGAGAAGTAGAACAAGAGATTAAAAATACGAAAAGGGCATTTATATCGGACAAATCAGATGCATCCTATAAAAGATTTAAGGAAGCCAATAATGCGTGCAAAAAGGTGATTAGATTTGCTAAACTTCAAAATGAAAAAATTATAGCCAAAGTACATAAATTATAAAAAAAAAATTAAAGTGTAGGTACACTAAGAACTGAAATGGGGGTGTTGGTTAATGAAGACCAGGAAAAGGCAGGAATTTAAATAACTATTTCTCCTCAGTATACATTAAGGAAGAAACCATGGCAAGAGATGTGCAAATGATTGCTACTAAAAACTTGCAGAATAATTGTAATTGGTTAACTCAAGACAAGGTGCTGCAGCAACTAAAGAAAATATAAACAAAGCTACGGGGCCTGACGGTATCCATCCACGAGTACTTAAGGAACTAAGTGTAGAAATAAGTGAACCTCTGTTTTTAATCTTTCAAGATTCTTTTCTTTCAGGAAGTGTTCTGGGGGATTGGAGGAATGCAGATGTGGTTCCTATATTCAAAAAGGGTTCACAATCCTTGCCTGGAAATTATAGACCTATGAGCTTAACTTCTGTGGCTGGGAAAATATTTGAAAGGTTATTAAGGGACAATATTCAAGAATTCCTTGAGAAGAACATGGTTATCAGCAAAAATCAGCATGGTTTTACAAAGCACAGGTCATGTCAAACTAACTTGATTGCGTTCTACGAAGAAGTAAGTATAGATCAGGGTGTTGCAGTGGATGTGATCTATTTGGATTTTGCCAAGGCATTTGATACAGTTCCATACAATAGACTAGTGTTCAAACTCAAAGAAAGTCATGTTTCAGTGTTTGCAGATGTTTGTAAAATAATACAATGTGAGCAAGATATTACTTTGCTGCAGAGGGATTTAGATAGACTGGGCACTCAAATGGCAGAGGAAATTTAATGTTGAAAAATGCAAAGATATGCACTTTGGCGTAAAGAATACACAAGCAACGTATACCCTTAATGGAAGCGAATTAGGGATAACAACACACGTAAAGGACTTGGGAATTGCTATAGATAAACTATGCAACAATGTACAATGTCAATCAGCAGTGTCCAAGGCCAGTAGGGTATTGTCATGCATGAAAAAGGGCATTAATTCTCAGGATGATAATATAATTTTGCCTCTTTATAAATCACTGGTAAGACCACATATTGAATATGCTGTGCAATTTTGGGCACCTGTTCTAAAGAAGGATATTATGGCACTAGAAAAAGTGCAGAGATGGGCTACAAAATTAATAAAAGGAATGGAACATATCAGCTATGAAGAAAGGTTAACACATTTAAACCTATTTAGTTTAGAAAAACGTCGCCTGAGAGGGGATATGATAACATTATACAAATATATTCGGGGCCAATACAAACCATTGTGTGGAAATCTAGTCACAAACTGGACTTTACGTAGAACATGAGGTCATGCGTTTAGACTGGAAGAAAGAAGATTATGTCTAAGGCAAAGGAAAGGTTTTTTACTGTAAGAATAATAAGGATATGGAATTCTCTGCCTGAAGAAGTGGTTTTATCAGAGTCCATACAGATGTTCAAACAGCTACTAGATGCATACTTGCAAAAACAGAATATTCAAGGATATAATCTTTCAATGTAGGGTAATAACTGCTTGATCCAAGGATAAATCTGACTGCCATTCTGGGGTCAAGAAGGAATTTTTTTTCCTAGCTTGTTGCAGAATTGGAAGTGCTTCAAACTGAGTTTTCTTGCCTTCTTTTGGATCAACAGCAAAAAAACAAATGTGAGGAAGGCTGAACTTGATGGACGCAAGTCTCTTTTCAGCTATGTAACTGTAACCCCACTAATTAGAAATTATATCCCTGTATCTTATGTTTTTGCAAGTATTTATCCAATTGCAGTTTAAACATCTGTATGGACTCTGATAAAACCACCTCTTCAGGCAGAGAATTCCATATCCTTATTACTCTTACTGTAAAAAAAAACTTTTCTTTGCCTTAGATGAAATCTCCTTTCTTCCAGCCTAAATGTGTGACCTTGTGTCCTATGTATAGCCCTGTTTATGAATAGATTTCCAGATAATGGTTTGAGATATATATATTTATATTTTTTACTTTACTTTATAATTACACATACATATATTTTATTATATATACAAAATTATATATATTAATATTAAAATACAGACATATACATACACTTCGCTCACACACACACTATATATATGATCTAAGCATTTATTATTTTATACTGTGTTTGAACTTGATTTAACTTTATTACAGGCAGCAGGGGGATTACCTGTCATTCCAGGCATTCCCCCTGCTGGCACCTATATGGACAGCTATTTCGTCCATGTGATCGGGAGGTCCTCTTAAGGACCTCGCAATCACATGACCCAGGAGGGCAGGAACGGCAGCAGGTAGACTCCCTGGGATGCCAGGTAAGCCCCCCCCATCGCGATTGCCGGCGAGCAGTTAAGTCCCCTGGACGGTGTGGGCATGCATTTAGAGCCAGGTTCCCAAGGACGGCATAGCAGGGGTTAAGCTGTAATTTTTCTGGTAACTATAGTGTTCCTTTAATGTCGAGTTATGTATTTTGTGATATAGAACTCAAGTTAGACTCTAAATGATACTTGGTTAAAGAGTTACTCCATCCACCATTGCCACTTCTGCTTTTATAAGTGGTCAACGTGGTAGGAAATGCTGCACATACAGAGCTATTTATATTTAGTGCTGAGACTTGTTGCACCCCTGGCACACTTAGGCAGCCTGGAACGCAAAAGTTATGTATGTCGTCCATGCACAGAAGGGAAGCTACAAAATTAGTTATGGAACCTGAAGATTTTAGTCATGGAGAAAGATCCAAACAGCTTTCTATTTCCCTGCTCATTAACAGGACTATATAAAGTGGTAACCTATTTAAAAGGGACTCCACTTCCAAAATATAAAAATCACTATTTAGTAGATATACCACCAATAAAACACACATACATTTAATTATGCATTTTTTAAAAATTGGTTCCACTAAACAAAACAATCAGGAAGTAAGAGAATCCAACATGTGGGTGTAACAAAGTGAATACATAAAGTAACACTTTCCATTGATATTTGCACGCTTTGTAACAATAAATAAATTTTTAAAAAGGAAATACTCTTCACGCATAAAAACACTTAAAGGAACACTATAGTCACCTAAATTACTTTAGCTAAATAAAGCAGTTTTAGTGTACAGATCATTTCCCTGCAATTTCACTGCTCAATTCACTGTCATTTAGGAGTTAAATTACTTTGTTTCTGTTTATGCAGCCCTAGCCACACCTCCCCTGGCTATGATTGACAGAGCCTGCATGGAAAAAAAAAACTGGTTTCACTTTCAAACAGATGTAATTTACCTTAAATAATTGTATCTCAATCTCTAAATTGAACTTTAATCACATACAGGAGGCTCTTGCAGTGTCTAGCAAGCTATTATCATAGTAGGGGATAAGAAAATCTTAATTAAACAGAACTTGCAATAAAGAAAGCCTAAATAGGGCTCTCTTTACAGGAAGTGTTTATGGAAGGCTGTGCAAGTCACATGCAGGGGAGGTGTGACTAGGGTTCATAAACAAAGGGATTTAACTCCTAAATGGCAGAGGATTGAGCAGTAAGGCTGCAGGGGCATGTTCTATACACCAAAACTGCTTCATTAAGCTAAAGTTGTTCAGGTGACTATAGTGTCCCTTTAAGGAGCCTGGAGTGTCGATTTAAACTACTTATTTGGTAAAACAGAATATTGAAAGACATCACTGTAAAAGTATTAGAGTAACTGCAAGTTTATCCAAGGAGAAATCTGACTGCCATTTTAGAGTCAAGGATATTTCGCCCTAGTTTTCTGGCAACATTTAAAATAAAATGATTAAACATATACAAGAGATACGTGTAAGGCTGACCCTATTGTTGCACTGAGGAGTGAAAAGAGCACTAAAGTAAAAAAAATGCCCCATTATATGCCTCTGCACTTTTTCACTTGCACACAGGGATCTACACAGAAATGCCATCTGGGAGCATTTGCATGCACCATGCATTTAACATAGCAATGTTGGAGCTAATTTGTATACGGTGCTCTTCAGGGCATGTAAATCCAAGACAATTAAACTACTGAGAACTTTAAAATGTAATAGCATAACCAATACCTAACTTTAAGATAGCTATCCAAAATTTGCAAAAATCTCATTACTACAGCTCTGAATTAAATGAAAATGTATATCTAAAGTTGTCCATAAGTTTAGTTCTGAAAAGAAAAAAAAAACAAAGCAGTGGTAACATCATTGCCTTTGAACTGGGAAAAATAGGTTTTTAATCGTGGCCACATAGCCTCATAAATAAATGTCCCTGGGTAACACACTTAAAACGTCTGTCACCTTCAGGGAACTTTGCATATTTTTGCAAAGAACCTCGATGGTGATATCGCCATTTGGTGTGCAGGTGCAGTCCCCCAAAAGCACTGCCTTCTTCTTACTTCCCGGGGCTTCAGTCTGTACTCTCGAACATGCGCAAGAGTAAAACACGGTCTATGGAGGATCTTGCAAAAGTCTCCATAGATATTGTCTCATGAGCTACAAAACAATGTATTCAAGTCCTCAGAGATTGTCAGCTCATTTGAGAAGGGCCTTCTTCCCCTCATGTCTGTTATTGTTCAAATATCCCCTTTCTAGAACTTTAAAGGACCACTCTAGGCACCCAGACCACTTCAGCTTAATGAAGTGGTCTGGGTGCCAGGTCCTTCTAGGGTTAACCCATTTTTTCATAATTATAGCAGTTTCAGAGAAACTGCTATAATTATGAATGGGTTAAGCCTTCCCCCTAATCCTCTAGTGGCTGTCTCATTGACAACCACTAGAGGCGCTTGCGTGCTTCTCACTGTGATTTTCACAGTGAGAGCACGCCAGCGTCCATAGGAAAGCATTATGAATGCTTTCCTATGTGACCGGCTGAATGCGCGCGCAGCTCTTGCCGCGCGTGCGCATTCAGCCGCATGGGAGGAGAAGAGGAGGATCGGAGGAGGAGAGCTCCCCGCCCAGCGCTGGAAAAAGGTAAGTTTTTACCCCTTTCCCCCTTCCAGAGCTGGGCGGGAGGGGGACCCTGAGGGTGGGGGCACCCTCAGGGCACTATAGTGCCAGGAAAACGAGTATGTTTTCCTGGCACTATAGTGGTCCTTTAAGTAGCCAAGTAAAATGCTGGCACAAGAAAAAAATAATCAGTCCTGCTCTACATGTAACCAATTAAATGAACACTACTAACACCCTAGGTAGGTACTTCATAATCATTAGGGATTAAACCATTCACTAACAAATCTGTTTCAGTACCAGATCACTTTGCCCTACTATCCCTCCACTTTCTTTCATTCTTTAGAACGGAAGGCTTGGGCAGCATCTGACAGGTGCGCATGTGATTCTATTAGAGCGGTCATCTGACAATCTGTGCTTATCAGTGGCTCCCCATTCATAAAAACAGCTTGAAGTAGGCACATAGCTTTTTATTCAAGCAATTTTGATGAAGGAAGAGATACCGATTGGCACAGTGTGTCAGCTGTGCCCCTGCCAGATGCTACCCATGCCTTTCATTCTGAAGAATTGCGGAAAAAAAGGGGGGCCGAGCGATCAAATGCTGAAACACAGCCTTTGGGGTTAATCTATTCGTGAACGGTTTAACTCCTAATGGTAAGGAAGCACCAGTGATCACTTGGCACCATAACAACCTCATTCTTCACAAAGCTTTTATGGTGACCAAACTGTTCCTTTAACACTGTGTGTCATTGATCAATTGTCACCCTAAACATGCAATGAAAGACCTAGACCCATTGAAATCTTACTAGGCACTAGTGACAGTGAGACACAGAGTTAAATTAGCAACTTGACTTACAATTCCAAAAATGGAATCCACTTTCACTAATAAAATGTTATATTTTGAAAACATCACCCAATACGTTGTTCAGTTAACGTGCAACAGTATATACTTAACCCTGCATAATTCCTCTTTGAACTTTTAGTTCTTTAAACCCCATGTCTCTACGTTTTCCATTAAACGAAAAGCCTTAGCTTTGCCTTCTAACCTGCCCGGTAGTTTGGCACTCCTCTTCCAGAACTGCCGGTTACTGTCGGTCATCCTGCTTCAATAAATTATTACAGGTTGTTGGAGTGTTTGGTGTTTTGTTTTGGTTTTGGGGGGGGAGTTCTTTTCCCCTTGGGTATATTCACCCTCTCCGAGACATCGCGTCCACCATAACTGAGCCGGGTGAACGGAGCATCCCGATTGGTTGCATCAAGGCGGACTTGCTGTGGGAGCCAATCAAAACCAGCGATGATTCGAAGTGATGATCCGCTGATGACGATTGAGGATGTGACTATCCAGTAACTGGAACCGGAAGTAATTTCTGCCACCATTTTGGTTCACCCAGCATTTATTATTTTCCGACACAGAAGTGACAGCCACCAGTCACTCAGACTACGGTTGCGCTGTTCTTGTTCATAATAAAAATTAAAATAAAGTTTCGCTTTTCTTAATACTGGACAGCAATCAAGATCCACGCAAACCTATAAGCAGTGGACAATACTTGTCCTCATAGTACTACCTGCCTATTTACACATAACGGGTTGCCTTTATTATCTTCCCCATTCCCAATTAGCTGATTAAAGCATTTTATACAGCGCCTTGAATAAATGGATTTATTTTCTGCACTGCGAATGGAGCCTTGAAAGGGTTTTACTGAAACCCTCGCAGTGTGTATGATGACTTGAACTTATTTTATTCCCCAAATGGTGCATTAAGGCAAGTTGCAAAGTGTTAATGCACTAAAAATTGCAAATTTAAAAGTGATTGTAACATTTTAGCAGAGTTGGAAGAAATTTCATTTCACATATTTTTCTAACTTGGCTGTTTCAGCCTAATCTTTTATTTATTTATTTATTTTTGGTTGTTTTTTTGCAAGTGTGGCTTTCCACAAATTGACACAGTAATATCCCTCCTTGTCCCTATCTATAGTGGTCGTCTTCCCGTTTGCCAAAATATTAATAAAATCAAAATTTTTTTTTTTTTTTTTTTTTTTTATGGAGGCTTCTTGGTGCTGCTTCATCCAACATGAGCCCACGTCAGTGCTATATTATTGCGCATGTGCAAGATATTCTTGATATCATAGCAACTATTTTTTTGTCACAGCCATCACTAGTGACATTCTCACTGCTCAATTTTATGCCGTTTAGGAGTTAAATTACTTTGTTTATGCAGCCCTAGTCATACTTCCCTGCATGCAACCTGCACAGTCGGTTTTATTTGGAATTTCTTATATCCTTTACTGTTAATACCCGTCATGGCGCTGGCGATCGTATTGGCGTGACCGCGCCTCATCATTGTGGCCTCGTCGATTCTCAAGTAAGTTAACATCTGATTGAAATGTTTTTTTTTTAAATGCAGGGTGTCAGTTACAGCCAGGGAAGGAGTGGCTAGGGCTGCATGGACAGAAACAAAAGTCATTTAACTCCTGCCATAGAACTGAGCAGTGAGACTGCAGGGGCAAGACCTATACACCAAAATCGCTTCATTGAACTAAAGTGGTTTTGATGACTATAGTTTCCCTTTAATGTATCAAATATACCAGAATGTATCACTGTATCAAGATTCCATTCCAAATTAATTCCTTAGGGATGCCTGGTCTTTAAGCTAAAAATCAAAAAGGCCTTATGATTGTGTAGCCGCTTTCGTATACCTCTCCATCATTGTGGTAACCAGCATTTCTGATTACAATGAGAGATGACGAAGTCTAAACTTTCATCTGTACACAGTTAGAGTTCAAATCCCACCTACTGAATTCCGCATTTTTTGCATGAAATTAAATAGATTACCTTACTGGTACTACAATTAATAAATTGATTAATATTTTATTATTGACCTGTAACCTTAGCGTTAAAATAGGTCACCATTTTAACATACTAGCAACATTTGTTTCTACCTCCAAATTTATAAATTTCTTTACATTGTAACCACATAGTTCTTCTACTTGCGACTATATCATTATTTGACTTGGAGAAAGTTGCCACCCCAACCTACATATTTTTCTGCAACAAATTTTACCAATTGCCTTTGGGGGGAAAAGATCAGCATTATAGAAGGGATCTAACCTGTGAACAGGTAGATAGATGTTTTAGCATCAATTCTTTTTTATAATGACAAATTCCAGGAAGAATTGTGTGCAGAAAAACATTAGTTTCCAATCCTTGCATCTGATTGTATCTTAATTACTGTAGATCAGGACTGTCCAAAACACTGCCCACTGTGGGATTTTATGCAGCCCACCTGTGAGTTATGAAAAATCGAAGGGGGCGCCGCACTGTGAAGGGGCCCATTGTACTTGCAGCACTGTCCGGCACCGCAACACATTAACTGCATAACCAGATCCCAGGTCTGTGTGAAGCCACGGTGCTGGGAGGATGTGAGTACAATGCACCACCTACTAGCTTACTAACGAGCTATGTGAGAGGGCGAGAGAGGGGAGGACCAGAGAGGGAGAGCCTGGACTTTGGACCCGACTCCTATCAGACCCAGCCAGATGCCACTGGACCCCAAGTAAGCCATACCCCTGCACCAAAAAGGTATGGAAACAGGTGTTGGCTACAAATCTGTAAATTGGGATCTGTGTGTGTATATGATATCCGTGTGTATGTGTGTGTATGAGTCATTGTGTGTGTATGTAGCTGTGTGTTTGCATCTCTATGAATCTGTGTGTATCAGTCAGTGTGTATGTTTGTGTCAGTGTGTGTGCATACATCCCAGCAATCAAACACCAACTCTACATACAAACACATTCAAACACTAAACACAAGTATACTACTATTTTAAATAGCAACAGTACATACACACATACAACTGCCTTCAGATTCCAACACTACACACAAGTACATACATACATTCATTCAAACACACAAAATATGCTTAAAGGAACACTATAGGGTCCGGAACATAAACATGTATTCTTGACCTTTTAGTGTTAAAAACACCATCTAGCCCCCCTTACCACCCTAAATATAGCAACAACTTACCTTTCTTTCAGTCTACTGCACCTGACTCTGCCCCTGATCTGCCTGCTTGGCCAAGATCATCAGAAGTGATTCTCTGAGCCAATCACAATGCTTTCACATAGGATTGACTGATACTGTCAAGGAGGCAGTTTAAGTGCAGAGCCAGCACAAGCCAAACACAGCCTTGGCCAATCAGCATCTCCTCATAGAAATGCATTGAATCAATGAGTAAAGTTCAGTGTTTCCATGCAGAGGGTGGAGACTATTCAGCATTGTGCCAGAAAGCACCTCAAGTAGCCATCTAAGTAGTGGCCAGTAGAGGTATCCATAGGCTGTAATGTAAACACTGCATTTTCGCTGAAAAAACAGTGTTTACCACAAAAAGCCTGAAGGGAATAATTCTACTCACCAGAACAAATACAGTAAGCTGTAATTGTTCTGGTGACTATAAATTTAAATTTGTCACCAGTTTTTCCTGTTGCATTAAAGGGAAACTCCAGTGCCAGGAAAACAATCTGTTTTCCTGGCACTGCAGGTACCCTCTCCCTCCTACCTCCCATCCCTGGTAGCTGAAGGGGTGAAAACCCCTTCAGGTCACTTACCTGAGACCCCGCCGATGTCCCTCGGCGGTGGTTTTGGGTCAGCGTCGCTCCTCCCAGTGATCACGTCAGCCGGTGGGCGAGAGTGATCCCGCCAGCCGGCTGAGGAAACCTAATGCGCATGCGCGGCAATGCCGCGCACACGCATTAGGTCTCCCCATAGGAAAGCATTGAAAAAGATTTTCAATGCTTTCCTATGGAGAATTGATCGACGCTGGAGGTCCTCACACAGCGTGAGGACATCCAGCAACGCTGTAGCAAAGAAAATCTTTGCTATGAATCAGGAAGTGCCCTCTAGTGGCTGTCTACTAGAGTTAACCCTGCAATGTAATTATTGCAGTTTATAAAAAACTGCAATAATTACAGTTGCAGGGTTAAGAGTAGTGGGAGTTGGCACCCAGACCACTCCAATGGGCAGAAGTGGTCTGGGTGCCTGGAGTGTCCCTTTAAGAATGTTTTATTCATTAAAAAAAGGTAATGCTCTTTATTAAAGGGACTCTCCAGTGCCAGGAAAACATATTAGTTTTCCTGGTACTGCAGGACCCTGCAGTGCCCCTTTCCCTCCCACCCATGTTGCCACTTACTTGAATCCAGCGCCACCCACGCTCCTTCCCCGCCAATGTCAGACAGCGGGTGAGACCTAATGTGCATGCTCGCCAATGGGACAGCATTATTCAGTGCTTTCCTATGGGGATTCCGGGGATGCTGGAGGTCTTCATGCATAGCGTGAGAACGTCCAGCATAGTTTAAAACACTTTTCATGTTCTAAGAACATAAAAGTTCCTCTAGTGGCTGTCTGATAGACAGCTACTAGAGGAGTACTTAACCCTGCAAGGTAATTATTGCAGTTTATAAAAACTGCAATAATTACACTTGCAGGGTTAAGGGTGGTGGGGGTTTGCACCCAGACCACTCCAATGGGCAGAAGTGGTTTGGGTGCCTGGAGTGTCCCTTTAACAAATACTATAAGGTATGTAATGCATTTATAACTTTGCATGTGGCCCGTAGTTAAATCTTGTTTTTTTAATGTGCCCCTTGGATTACCTAAGGATAGCCCTGTGTTTGTTTGAACAAAGGTAGAGCCAATAATAATGATAAACCATCCATATATAAATTGGGGGGGTAACCACAGGAATTAATTAGTATCAGTAGGTGGGAAGGATAGATTAAAGAGACACTATAGACCCCTCAAGCACTTAAGCTTGTTGCACTGTTTTATGGTAACACCCCCCCTGACTTTCAAACCTGCAATGTATTAATGCATATCATTCTATTTGGGCAGTAGAGTGTCCCTTTAACCCCTTAAGGACCAAACTTCTGGAATAAAAGGGCATCATGTCACACATATCATGTGTCCTTGAGGGGTTAAAGGGACACTACAGTCACCAGAACAACTGTAGCTTAATGTATTTGTTCTGGTGAGCATAATCATTCCCTTCAGGCAGTATTTACATTACAGCCTAGGGATATCTCCAGTGGCCACTCCTCAGATGGCTACTAGAGGTGCTTCCTGGGGCAGTGCTGCACAGTGTGAACTTTCCTCATAGAGATGCATTGATTCAAAGCAGCTCTATGAGGAGATGTGATTGGCCTGGGGTGTGTCTGGCTTTTGCTGGCTCTGCCACGATCTGCCTCCTTGACAAGCTCCATAGTAAAACCACACAAT